ATCTTGTCTGTGTGAAACTTTGAATATTACAATAAAGACAATGTTTGCAAGGCTCAAACTCGTAAGATGAACATTTTATATCATGTGAGAAGCACATGCATACATACCCAACTAGAATGTCACATCAGAAAATTTGTTAAACATTCATTAAGCACAACTCCAAGCTGACTTGATATTTGAGCATGCTATTCCCAATGCCAGACCCAGTCACACTATTGATCAAACAGCACTCACAGCCTGATATAAATGGCATTCTATCTACCATGGTAATAATAATTGTTGATATGAATCACAGCATGATCTTGAGAATGGGACTTGGCAATGAACAAGTAAGTTCATGTTAAAGATTGTGTGGCACATCTAACTTCATGTGTCTCAGATTACAGTTCCTGAAAAGTGTGTTGATGCACTACAGGTTGTCACTTATCAGCTTGACCTATATCAGACTATCACCAATATATTGATCCAGCTTCCAGAGTCAGCTGACATTGACCAACAGATCACATTCTATCTGTCTCTTGCCACATATATGGCTGATATTGTTACAGTACCCTATTCTTTTTCTCACCATCACTACGGACACCTTATGGCTGTACTTCTAACACTTCCCTTTCACCTTGCTGTTTCCTCATGGTCTCTCTTATCTTTGACTCATACTTTGTTTTCTCATGAACTTTGCTTTCTCAGTACTTGTTACCATTTGCCCAGCTTGGTCTGTGCACAATTCCCTTATGTATATAAACCCTAGTTACTGCTTGTATTTTCTCTAACTTGAATCTACTCAGTTCTCCTTGATATTTGAACTCTAGCTCCTTGGAAAGGAGGCTAGCCATTGTTCATTTAAACTCTAGACCCTGTGAGAGTCTAGACAATTGCTCCTGAGAGAGGCATTGACTTGACAAGGTCTTATCCTTGGTCGACCCTGATCCTGATTCCTTTATTAGAATGATGCTCCATCTGAGTTTGTAACAGATATCATCATTTGCATTCTAAGGTAAAACAAGATGGGATGAAGAGTATAACATCTAAGTGGCAGTCTGCACATCTTGACTTTCACATTACCATGGCCTTGCACAACAGTGCATTTACTTTGGAACATCAGAACATGGTGCTGAAGAGGATCAGCTGGACATGGGCTCAGTTCAAACAAAAGAGAGCTTACAGGAAGGTCCAAGCATATTAGTTTCTCAATTAACATGGATTTCATGAATAGATGCTCACTGTGGATGAACTATAGTTACATTTGAAGGGTTACACAAGGAACTCTGTGCAGATAGGGATGACTTGTGTGGTGGTCCCTTTGACCATATGAAGTTGATGAATGTTTTGATTGCTGAGCTGGTGAAAAGCCTTAGGTGTCACAGCCCCTTTATAACAAATTAAGGGAAGGGCAGAGACTAAGACTCAAAGAAAGGATATCATGATAAAAAGAAGATAATATTAAGCAGTGATGTTTGGGCTGATACACAATGTATAGACAGAAGGTTTAAACTAAAGAACTACTGACTATAACTAGCTGACTATATACAGTGGCTCAAAAAACTGTCCGCATGTTTTGACATTTTTCACTATCTATGATATTGTGTGAGAATGAACAAATGCCTCAAGGACATGCTTATAGCACATTGTAGTATGGCTTCAGGGCTTTCATTTGAGCCCTACACCGTGGGAATCGGTAAAGATATGGTGGAGATACAAGGCTTACAAAATCATGACTCATGCGGACAGTTTTTTGAGCACATATTAAAACTATATAAATCATCATTTATGACACCATAACAATCATGCCACCATTAAATAAATTACAAAGTGGTGTCATTATGTCATTTTAAAACCATATCTAACTATACAAACCAAAAATTTCCACATGTCATGGTTATATTCACCATGAAAGCCACCCCCCTGCTCAAAGGGATAATATTCTCTCTCTTTCCTATTCTGGCCTCTCTGCTTGTCAAATTTCCTCTAGAACTGGAGTATCCAAGTCCACTGTGGCCAAGTTCATCAAAGAAAGTCACACAGACAAGGAAAACTTCTGTGAAGGGTGTCCATCCAAGCTCACCTCTACTGATAGGAGGGCTATTATTCAACATATCACTACAGGAAAGGCTGATAATGCTGTCCAGGTCACCTATTACATCAATTCCACCATCACATTCCCTGTCTCTTCACACACTGTGAGAAACATTCTCAAGACAGCTCATCTCAGGTCAGTAACAAGGAAGAAAAGGCTCTTCTCTCTATCACACATAAACAGAGATGACTAACCTTTGCCTTAGCCCATCAGAATTGGATTACATGGACTGGAAGCATGTTATATGATCATATAAGACCACAATAGATAGGATTAGGTCAGATGGCAAGGTATATATGTGAAAAAAGAAGGGTGCTAGTCCTCTCTGCATATGTGTGATAGAGAGGAGAGCCTTTTCTTCCTTGTTACTGACCTGAGATGAGCTGTCTTGAGAATGTTTCTCACAGTGTGTGAAGAGACAGGGAATGTGATGGTGGAATTGATGTAATAGGTGACCTGGACAGCATTATCAGCCTTTCCTGTAGTGATATGTTGAATAATAGCCCTCCTATCAGTAGAGGTGAGCTTGGATGGACACCCTTCACAGAAGTTTTTCTTGTCTGTGTGACTTTCTTTGATGAACTTGGCCACAGTGGACTTGGATACTCCAGTTCTAGAGGAAATTTGACAAGCAGAGAGGCCAGAATAGGAAAGAGAGAGAATATTATCCCTTTGAGCAGGGGGGGTGGCTTTCATGGTGAATATAACCATGACATATGGAAATTTTTGGTTTGTATAGTTAGATATGGTTTTAAAATGACATAATGACACCACTTTGTAATTTATTTAATGGTGGCATGATTGTTATGGTGTCATAAATGATGATTTATATAGTTTTAATATGTGCTCAAAAAACTGTCCGCATGAGTCATGATTTTGTAAGCCTTGTATCTCCACCATATCTTTACCGATTCCCACGGTGTAGGGCTCAAATGAAAGCCCTGAAGCCATACTACAATGTGCTATAAGCATGTCCTTGAGGCATTTGTTCATTCTCACACAATATCATAGATAGTGAAAAATGTCAAAACATGCGGACAGTTTTTTGAGCCACTGTATACTAAACTACTACTTAGATGCAAGGGGGGACCTATTGTGGTGCAGTGGTAAAGCTACAGTGAGGTGGGAAGGGTGTGGGAATAATTCATATTGTGGAGAGTCCCAAAATGGGTAATGTTTTGGGTGTTGTGGGGCAATTCCCACACTGTGTGGCCAAAAATGCAGTGTGGCAATATTGTGGGAAGTCCTGACATGAGGAATTGAGCCAGATGGGAAATTGGAAGACAAAATTGCTGTCATGTATTATTTGTAAGCTGTAAATGATTCTCCAGAGCAGTGAGAGTAAGGTTACGTATAAAGGATAATGAAGGATATCGTCAGGGATCCCTGACAAGGAAGCATAACCAGTGGTCTCTAACTAGAGTTGGTTATCCATAACACTGCCAGCAACAGGTGAATACTGTTGGTGCACGAGTGCATGTGACGATGCGATGCGTGAGTGACCAGAATCCAAACCATGGACCAGTATATATAGTTGTTTCTCTTTGTATCGTCTCTTCCCTCAGTCCATTCCACCAAGACTGAGGGTATGTTTGTTTGTTTATCTCACTACGATAATTAGACACTAACACACATTTGTACTAGTGTTAACTGTGTCTAGGTACTTAATTCAGTCCGTTCCACCAAGACTGAGGTGTTAACTGTGTCTAGAATTATAGTGGTTTTCAAAACAGTTGGCACAGCTGCTGAAACACCACTTTTTCAGCTCTTTCGAATACATAGAATCAAACAATTGTTTCTCAACAACCACTGCTCCAAATGCTATGATTCTTTAATGAAAGATGATCTATTTTATGGTGCCCAGGGCATGCCAACAAAATTTGAATGATTTGGCCACTACTTCGATATCTTGTTTTCATGGTGTTACTTTACATTGAACTACCATTCCTATTTCTAAATTCGCTGAAACTGATGCTCTTTGAGGCGAGCATGTATTGCATGAGTTATTGCCGTCACATGTGTTCGACGATCCTGCTTTCTGCATATCAATTCACGGTACTCGTCATAAAGAGCCGGTAAACTAATACATCAATCCATCATTTCACGAAATACGTAGCCAACATCTATTTAAATAAACGGAAAAACGCCTTTCTTCGGAACTTCTGCCAGAATCTCGAAGGAAGGAATAAGGGTAGCATATTCTGCTTGTTGCTCTTCTGTTGCACACACTGTACTGTCGAAAACCAGCCTCTCCAGGGGACATTTTGACCGCGTCAAGAATTCCATGAACGATTTATGTGGCCACACCCCCCTAACGCTAACTTCAAGTATGCGAAGGTTCGGGAGTGTGATAACCTTGAATAGGCCAGGGTCCCCGCCCAAGTTCTCAAGTACGCTCCAAAACAGGTTTAAGGATTGGAGGTTGGTGTGAGTGACTGGTTCTGCAGTCTCACTCGGGTGGAATAATCCGGTCATCTTCAGCGAAGAGAGATTAGGACATAGACGGAGTATGTGGGTGCATGTGTGTCGTCCATTTACGTTGATCTCGAGGTGTGTGAGACGGGCCAATGCGGAATCAGCGAAGACATCTAATCGCTTGCGGTTGAACCACCCATTCACCATGTTAATCCTGCGCAGATTAACCGGCAAATTTGAGAGAGAGCCGTTAACAGCTCGCTCAGGATCACAACAAATGTATTGGCGTATAGTGAGCTCCTTGAGTGCGTGGAAGTCTTCCATCATGAAGGGACCGTCGCAGGATATAAAGCCAAGCGAGAGAGACGAGACTTGCTTAGCGTATGGCTGGAGCAGGCTTTGTAGCTCGCTCCAGTCGGGGCCACACTCGAGTCTTAACGAGACCAGACGTCCTCCTGATCGCTTGAGCCAGGAGTCGTAGCCGAAAGCTCTCGTCGGCCAGTCACGGATAGTTCCCCCCCGCCAGCCTCCGTACCAGAATACCACTTTGAGCCTGCACCATAACCTAGGAAAGCCCACAGCAACCTCCCTCCATCGGCGACATATTCTGGTCAATAGCATAGGAGCCTGTCTTGATGCATAGACCAAATGCTCGTCTTCGGGCAAACAGTAAAGGAAGATTTCGGAAAGAATTTCAGTGGGCAAGCGCCAAATAGGCGATGAAAGGCTTCTGCAAGCAGTGTTGGACTGAATGATGACGGCCTTCTCTTCGCCGAGTTGCCGCCGACGATAGCTAACACCGTTCCTGACGGTTTGAAGGCCCAAGTCCTCGCCTGTAATCACATCCAACTGTTGAAGTAGATATTTATTATATTCAGACGCCAATACCTCCAAAACCAAGCACTTACAGGTTTCCGTGGCTCATCAGTGGTAGCTGAGACCGATGATGAATCGACATTTGAGTTAAATGTCTGCATGTCAATGCGAATGAGTTTGAGATGTTGGAGATGGAGGTTTGAAGGAGGAAATAAGTCTACCGTTCGCCAACCGTCAGGTCCCTATTTAAATGAACACCTCGCAAACCACAGTTCCACAATAAACCCACCTTGTTATTGTAGTTTCTCATAGCCGGTCTTTAGGTAAAACACCCGCCATCCACAACTAGAGACCCAGCATTGTTCCACAGGTGGTCGGTGTGGGCGCCTGTAGAACTGTGGGACCGGGTGATCGAGCTCAATGCCTTTAGCATACTCGATCGGCACCACTAGACCATCCAAGACCTTTTATGTCTTCACGACAACCGAAGGTCATAGAACAGACTTGTCGATCGAGCTGTGACCTTTATTTTTCCAATAGTAGCCTTCTGTTTCTGGTGTGATATTTGACAGGCATGAAGGTAATCACGAAAATCTAGTTCAATTTTGAGTATCCTTGGTACCTCTCCATACCCATACCGTACGTACTGAAGGGCGACTCCCTTTTCACCAACCGTTTCCCCTCCACTACATTCTTAGTACTGACACTCCTGTTCATGCCAACAATAACAAGTAGTTGGAATATAAGATGACTCGAGGAGTGCCGGGGAGTCACTTATAACAGCGGGGGTTAACGTTGACACATGATTGCACCGTGCCATAGCGAAATTCGAGCGTGCATCGCCTTGATTTGGAAGTAGATCGGAGTACTGGGCTTTATGTAAAAAGGAGGAAAAAAGGACATGCTGTATGATGCACAGCTGTCTGCAAGATATAAGTACATAGAGGTGAGACGCGCGCCTATATGCCCATCATCGCTCTTCCTCCTTGGTAGCATCCTGGTAAGATGAAAACCCATATGAGCATCACGCATGGATGAACTGACGGCTAGCTTAAGCAGGCAAAGTGTGGCAGTGGACACTCGAATGAGTTGAATTGAAAATCACTCAATATCAAGCCTAGCCTTAACAGAGCAAGAGAAGAACTCGAACATTGACCGATATATTTGCCAACCTGTCTGGCACATACACCTGTGATGGCCTCCGGCTCAACCCAGCCTGGTATGGCAGCAAAAAAATCGATTCTGACACCAGTCACGACCTTAGATGTCACTTCGCCAGGTTATGAACCCCCCCAATATATTTCGTCCATGTCCTATTTTCCCGACGGCGAGCAAATGATCAGCGGATCGAGCAATGGGACCATTCGGCGGTGGGACCTGCAGGAGGGCAAGGAGATTGAAGAGACTCGGGAGGTTTGCGAAACAGGTATATCTGCAATGGGGGTATCAAGGGATGGTCGATGGGTTGTCACTGCAGCTGGTGGGGCTCTCAAAGTCTGCGAGGTTGAGACGGGGATCGTGAGAACATTTGATGAAGGTCATTGGACCAAGTGCATCAATGTCTCCACAAATAGCATGCTGCTAGCGGGTGCGTCGCTCAATTCTGTGTGGGTATGGCACTTGGACACAGGCGAACTCGTGGCCAGTCTATTCGAATATGGAAATCATTCTGGGTCACCACTTCGATTCTCGGAAGAGTTGGTATTATCAAATTTACCGGTACCGGAGACACATCCATCGTAGCCGCAGGCCTCACTAATAGTAACACCACCACAACGATCTATGAGTTTGACGCGCCCACGCTCGAGACGTCGAGCCCCCCTCAAAGGGCACACTATTGTCATCAGTGGTCTAGCACTCTCATCTGATTGTGCTCTTCTCGCTAGCTCTTCCTATGACAGAACCATTAAGCTCTGGGCTTTCAAGTCCCGCCAGCTCCTCGCTTCATTCGACGTCGAGTCTCCCCACGCCCTTGTCCTCTCACCCGATTCGCGCCAGCTGGCTTACACGCTTATGAATAACGGCAATATCTATATATGCAACATTCCAGCCGGCATCCTTGCTAGCATTGGGCTTGCAGAAGAATCGCAGTCTAGTGTATGTATTCCCCGCATAGATCCATCATTTATATGCTAATATTCTTACAGACCAGTAAATCTAAACGTTCACGCCATCCTGATCTACTCAATGTATGTGGTCCTACACTCTCATTCATCTACATCTACATCATCATTCTCTATTATAGTCCGATGCAACACGTCGTCCCATGCGCCGTAAACCGGTGATAACATCTGTCGTGTCACCCATCCCCCGACCTTTGCCCACAAGGGACCCACATACTTTCCTTCCTTTTCTACGCAAGCTCCTTCCCTCCTCTTCTCGTATGGACGCGACTCACACCGATAAGCCTCGTAATCTCCTAGACGTATGTTTCTCTTCAGTTTGCTTCCTAGCTGACTCGACGGCTCTCTTGCAGTTCCCTGCTACATCCCCCCTACCTCGTCCACCTATACAACCAGACGAGAACGTGAGTGGGGACTTCCATCATTGCGTATTCGATTTACATTATTCTAGTCTCAACCCATACCGGCACCACCCACCAGCCAATCTTCCGCTATCAATACTTCCGCAACCCTCAAATCCAGCCTACATCGACTACCAACGTGGCGCCCCCTTCAGACAGATCATGCATCGCCGGCTATCGTCGATGTTCCTCTCGCGCCGGGTAAACTGGTATGCACATCTCATTTTTCTCGTCGTATTCAAATCTCACGCATCCATGTATAGCGGTACGCCACAGCAGGTGCTCCCGGCGATGATGATGACCTGATACGCGACGAAGACTATGTTTCCCCCCCTCCTTCCCCCAATCTCGGCTCTCGCGCACGGATTGTCAACGCTGGGCAACATGGAAGTGGCCGGTTTTGTTTCTGTTTCTAACTGATCTCAAGCTTTTCCCCTGATGTCTCATAACTGTAATCGTTGCCCCTTACATGCGTCGTCCTCTGTACACTTATGTCGAATTCAGAAAACAACCAGCGTTGAACGTTGAAGTATCATTTCTATTTCTAAAGTCTCGCCAAAACTGATGCTTTTCGAAGCAAACGTGTATTGCGCGAGTTTCTGCCGTTGCACGTGTGTTTGACAAACATGATACCAGCCTTCTTTCTACGTAGTACTCCTCGTCATAAAGAGCCTGAGTTACTTTGCCACTGATATTGAAGACAAATGACGCATTATTGGTGAACTAGAAAGAGTCCATATTACGAGACTAACCTGCTATGCACTCAATCTCAAACAAAACATCTTTCGGAAGTCGAGCAACTTCAACAGCTGAACGTGCCGGCTTGTGTTCCGAACCGCTAAAGAACTCCTCGTAAATTTTGTTGACCGTGGCAAAGTCCTCCATGTTTTTAAGGAATACCTATGTAATGTATCATCGACTCGAAGACGACTGCCTCAATGGAAAAGTAACACACCGTAGTCTTGACGACCTTGCCAACTGAACTAGAGCTAGCTTCAAGAACAGCTTTGAGATTTGTGAGGGCCTGCTTGGTCTGCTCTTCAATACCACCTTCGACTATCTGCATCGTGGAAGGTACGAGGGGGATACAACCCGAGACAAAGACGAATTCGCCAGCTTTGATAGCTTGGGAATAGGGCCCAATGGCTGAGGGCGCGTTTGGCGTCGACACGGATGTGACTTGTAGACATTTGTCGTTTTGTTCTGACAGCGAGTGCAAAAGCGGGATATTGCGGGAGACGAAGAGCGGTTGTTCTGCAACAGGAAGGCCCACCACGGAAAACAAAAGATCTTGACAGGCGAATTGCACCCAACATCAATCGATTCGATTTTGATATAACCGCACAAGTGACGATAAACCCGAAAATGACTAGGTGCTACATATCATGAGAACTTGTGATAAGATAAGATTGCGTCAATTAGCCTAGTACTACAATCAAGAGTTACATAGATGCTACTTTCACAACAACTTTTTCTCCGCTCACTTGTCCGTTCCGTACTACATCAAGAGCCTCCTGGCAGCGATCTTGCAGTGATCCTTGATCAAATAGACGAACTCGATTAGGTTGAATAATGGCTTCCTCCAACAGTCGAGGGAGAATCTTCGGCATCAGGTTGTCACGAAGGTACTCGTTCTGCGCCAACTTACTTATATGCTCGATCGAAACCAGTCTCAATATACTCACCTGTTGATACAGCAGCGTCCTCACGCCTACAAGTTTCACCTGAATCTGGGAAGGGATTTCTGTCGACCGGTAATTCCATCCACATTTGCGTGTCTTTCCCTGCAACACGCCTGCTGCCTTCCGTCACTGGCAATAGCATAGCTACCACACCGTCGGAGCTAACGACACTAGATATGCTCTTGAGCGTGCCCTCGGCGCTGATGCAGTCCAAAACAAATTGGACGTTTTTGCCTGCGGCAAGTAGGATCTTCTCGGCCATGTCATCATCGCTGTAGTCTACGACATGGGCGGCGCCAAGAGACTTGAGGTAGGAATGGTGACGAGGAGATGCGGTTGCAATGACCTGCTTGTACCCAGCAAGGGCCAACAGCTGAACAGCATATTGACCAGACGTAGCTCCCGCACCATAAATGAGGATCGGAGTCTCTGCATGGGGAGGTGATACGGAGATTGGGAACGTTGGCGGAGCAAGTCCCCAAACAATCGAACAGCGTGTAAAATGCAGTTATGAAGTTGTCAGGAATTGTTGCAGCTGCTTCGAGCGAGTAATCATCGGGGAGCTGCGAGTCTAGTCATCACTTGCAATAAAAGTGTGATTTATTTCAAACCTTGGCGCAGGTGGACCTTTGTATAACTGCACGTTCTTGTAAACCCTTCTCCTTCGATCCTGCCAATGCAACTGCGCAAACCTAGAAAAGAAGATGAGCATCAGACTGGGTCGTTCACCTTGCACAGATATTTATGCTCGCCTTGTCTCCCGCCTGCAAGTCGTCCACACCGGAGCCGACAGCTTCTACAACTCCACTAAGATTGAAGCCTAAAACGACTGGGTATTGGCCGTTTATGATTCGACCATAATCGGACATGTATGTGTCAAGGGGTATGACTGCGCTGAATGCGACTTTTACCATCACCTCACCGGCTCCAGGAGAGAGAGTTGGGACCTGAATAACAGATGTTATGCCAACGGCTGTACTCGCGAATGCAAGATGAGTTTGCGATGACATGGCAGCAAATGGGAAGCCGATGAGTCGAAGGTAGTGTATTTGATGGTAGATAGTGTCACTCACGCGCGTGCTTCTATAGTTCATAAAGGTAACACAGCGATCTCTATTTGAGCTCTGTCGAGTTCTGACACACTCATGTCAGTGATGAGTCACGAGTCCAACAGTTTGAATCACATTGATCATAAATCTGCGCCATATCATCGATAGACCCTTAAGCAGCTAGCGAGTGATCCGTTACTGACACAGTCAGTATTAGTACATAGCACTGCGGAAATTAGTCATGTACGATGTGGTTGTGATCGATTTGGGAGGGCTTACGAAGACTATAATCACTCGCCGTGAATAAACGGATGTTACGGATCATCCTGTACTGTCATGAGAGATTCGGGCCTCAAGAACGATTCTAAAGAATTTCTTACATAAAGAAGTTTGAACAACCGAATATTATCGACAGCTGATAGTTTGGACCTGTTTATTTCAGAAGGTGTTGCCAAACATTTGCACATAGCCTCCTTCGCATTGTTTGCACAATCCAGCATTTATTTCCTCTTCTAGTACTGTCTCCATAGATTCCGCCTCTCGGAATCGATTGCCTGTAGATTGTTGTGGGTCCATGTATATTCCGCAATCCAATTTTCCTAAAAAGGGTAATTTGCTTGAAGACGGTTGACACTCAATTCTTGATTTCCAGACACTCCGTCGTCAAAGTACCCAGCACCCAGATACTTAAGCAGCGCGATGTCCGTCACTTGACTCATCCGAGTCATCAGCACTAGCAACCTCAGTCTGCGAACTAAATATCTGAATCGCACACTCGTCTCTAAACAAATACTCCGAGATGTCTTACACCACTCTTAACATCAGCACTCACTTCTCCCTCTTCGCCCCCTCGCCCTCGCCCGCGTCCTCAAACTTGTTCACTGTCTTTACTCAGGCACAGTCTCCACGTGAAACGCATGCGATGTACGCAGAGTTTCGCCAGGTGCTTGGCGCTTCCAGCGGGCAAAGGAAGCAGGGCAAGAGCGCGCTGAAGAAGATCTTTGGTGTCAATTAACAAGTGTCTACAACACGCGCCTTCAAGCGCATTATCCCATCCGAGATCAAGCTCTCTCGCTCGACGTGACAAGGTCATCCTCGTCTTCCGAGCAACTCCCCCAGAACGCGGCCATTGCTGCCCTCTCAAACAACTGTATCGGCCAAGCGCAGGTACAACCACCATAAGCCGTGCTCACCCCTTGATGCGCGTTCGCATTTAAAAACTATATGACGTGTGGATCGCGTCGTAGAGCGGGCAATTCGGGAATAATCTGGAGGAAGATAGAAGTGCTGCATACTTATTAGAATCCAAAATACGCATCGGATGCAGTCTTCTGGCCTTACTTCGATAGCACTTCATATCCAGGACCTGTTTCAAAGCATCAAAGAATTGATTCAATGCTAATAAAAATATGTGATATGTGAATGACATGAAGTGAAGGAGACCTCAACGCATGCCACCAGGAGTGGGTGTAGGCGAGACCGTATGGCTGCATGTCAAGATTGCAGGCATAGGCATTCTAAGCCCCATTTTTGGTGCGCCAGATGTTGGCGGTTCGGGGTTCGGGCGGTCGGGGGGTGTTGCGCACGGTGGATGTATATCATCTTCCTCTGCTACCTCTTCCTGCTCTGCTTCTACGGATATCCGCGGTGGACGTGCTTCCACAATCCTCGAAATCTCCTTAAATTCCTCCTCGCCCGTCCTGCTCCCAATAACGTCCTCGAGGCCTTCATACCCCTTGGCTTTAGCTATCCTCGACTTCAGCTCGTGTGCATCCGTCTTTGACACCTCTGAGCGTGTACCCTTGAATTGAGTGACACAAAACTTCGTAGAGGCCCAGTGGTTATGCAAGTATTTGCAGAGGCGCATATATGAAGGTGAAAGTGTTGATTCAACATCTCGGAGTGGTGTTGCGGAGAAACACGATGGATTTGACTCTGCCGCAGTTGCAATCATGACCGAGTCTGCGCCTAAACGGTGTATAAGAATATATGTAATAGGATAATCTCCACAATTTGACTCACCGGTAAGGTCCCTAATGCGCTTTGCATCTTCCATTCCTGTACAATCTCCATTTTGAATTATTGCCACGTCCAAACCCAACCCCTGCACAAATTCGACGATCTCTTTCAGTCTCTCCACCAATGCTCGCTCTCTCGGCCTCATGTTTCTTGTCCGACAGTGTACCGTGATCGCATTCACACCCGTCCTTGCAATCCTTTCTACCAACTTCTTCGTCTCTTCCTGAGTTGACAGTAGTCTGATCTTCGCCGATACACTGATTTCCCTCGGCAATTCCCTCCTCAGAGCCTCCAATATTCCACAAAGAAGGTCAGGATTCGTCAAGAGAGCCGCGCCCATCCCAGCGTGCGTGCTGAAGGGTTTCGGACACCCACAGTTGAGGTCAACGCCTGAAACATCCTGCATGACGGTTTTTGCTGCCTGCACCGCGAGCTCGGGGTCAGCGGAACCGATTTGGTATATTAGGTATGGTTTTTCGAGAGGATGAGTCGTGAACATTGCGCGAGTCTTGCCATTGTACGAGATGACACCGGTAACAGCTGAACAAAATCAATTAATCAGTGAAAATGAGACGTAGGTCATACATACGGTCAACCTCGCGCTCCGCATGTAATATAGCCTTGTCTACCATTTCAGGGCCCCAAACAAGCGTCGCACCATACTTAAGAGCCATTAATCGCGTCGGTACTGTAATTAAAAGCTGCATCAACTCGGATCGGACTGCAAATACAGAACCGGCACGTACGAGCACCAGATCTAACCATTGGTGCGAGAAATATCCCATTTCTAAAGGAATCTGGCGTAAGATGGTCGATTCGCGGACGTTTAGGTGGTCGTTCCGAATCGACCTGAGGCCCAGGGGTTGGTGATGTTGAGATTGGGCGACGAGACATCGCGCAGGTCAAGAACACAGAACTCGGTAATATGTGCAAAAGTTTCGGATGTGCTCTGGATGAACAAACGAGTCGAGCGAGCATGAAAAATTATGATACAGTCGGCTTTTCCGGTAAGACTTGACTCACTTGGCAAAGTTACACTGTAGAAGTACTCAGATGATGAGATGGAGCCGAGACGTACACTTTCCACGTGACTGGTTCGCGGAAGGACCTTCAATTGAAGTTCTAGGTCCGAGATTAGTACTTATTGACCTCTCTTATTGATTGGAGTTGCATTCAAGATCCAAGAGCTGATTTGAGCAACGTGCGGAATGATACCCACAAATCGAGCAGCAGCCTCCTCTCTCCTACGCTCTTCCACTCATGTTCATTCCATTCCACGGACCTTGTTGGCCGCAGACGTGAGCAGTAGCACGAAATATGCACGGACATTGCAAACGAAGGCTTCTGTGATCGGAGCTATGGTGTCCCAACCTAGAATGTTGGTACAGCCTGCTGTTTCACGGAGAAGATTTGCAACTGCCGTTCAGAGTACGTGGTCTTCTCCCTCTGTGTGAAATGCGCTTAGTATCATCTAGATACCTTGTCACCTGAAAGAAAGCCTCACTTTGACAAGATACTGATCGCAAACCGGTGGCGTCCCAGTCCTTCTTCTCGCCTAACTCGCCTGACCTGTCCTCAGGGGGGAAATTGCGTGCCGCGTGATCCGCACCGCAAAGAAGCTGGGAATAAAGACTGTTGCAGTATACAGCGAAGTTGACGCTAACTCGCTACATGTACTGGAAGCAGATGAAGCCTACTGTATCGGCCCTGCGCCTTCGGCTGAGAGCTATGTCCGTTCATACTTCCAGTGATCTAGTGATCTTCTGTTGACGCTGGCTCACTTAGTTACGCATGGACAAGATTATCGACGTGTGTCATCGAAGCGGAGCTCAGGTTGGTTCAGTCTCAAGGTCTGTCATGTGAGACGGAGCTTGACTTTGAACTTGCATTGTACCAACTACAGGCTGTCCATCCGGGGTGCATAGAGTATTTCCCTCGTTCGTGTATGGCAAGCTGATGTCCTTGTTAGCTATGGCTTCTTGAGCGAGAATGCAAAGTTTGCTGAGCGGCTAGCGGAAGAGGGCATCGTTTTCATTGGTCCTCCTTCCAGCGCTATAGTCAGTATGGGTTCGAAAAGGTCAGTTCAAGCATCCTTGATGCCAATATGGAGCTAAACTTTCTTCAGTGAATCTAAGAATATTATGTCTGGTATGATGCATATTACAAAGTGCTACTGAAAACGTGATATTCAACTCTTTTGTGCAGCTGCCGGCGTTCCGTGTGTGCCAGGTTACCACGGCACGAACCAAGACGCCGACCTCTTATTCGCAGAAGCCGAGAAGATCGGTATGCACCTTCATCCAGCCGTTCCCGAAATCTCTCGCTAAGCGTGTTATGTTACACAGGTTACCCAGTCTTGATTAAAGCCATTCATGGTGGCGGTGGCAAGGGCATGCGTGTCGTCTCATCTGCATCTCAGTTCAAGGATGCTCTCGCTAGCGCGCAGCGTGAATCCTTGAAAAGCTTCGGTGACGCAGATGTACTTGTAGAGAAGTACATTGAGCGTCCCAGACATATTGAAGTGCAGGTATTTGCAGATATGCTTGGGAATGCTGTGAGTCTTTGGGAGAGAGACTGTTCCGTGCAAAGGAGAAACCAGAAGATTATCGAGGAGGTAGGTTTGAAAGTTGTACCAAAAGTGTATAGAAAGACGATCCTTGATAGGCCCCGGCACCTGGCTTGAGCCCTGAACTTCGTGCAGACTTATCAGCGAAAGCGGTTGCTGCTGCAAAGGCCGTGAATTACGTAGGTGCTGGAACTGTGGAATTCATTTTCGACAACGATACGGAAAAGTTCTACTTCATGGAAATGTGTGTACTTCTCAGTTGTACGGCACACTACTCATAAAATCTCAGGAACACACGCTTGCAAGTTGAGCACCCGGTCACAGAGATGATCACTGGCCTTGACCTTGTCGAGTGGCAACTAGAAGTCGCGGCCGGTAATCCTCTTCCACTTTCGCAAGGACAAATCCCTCTCGTTGGGCATGCATTTGAGGCGCGGATATACGCCGAGAACCCTCGGAATGATTTCCTACCGGACTCTGGACCATTATTGTACCTCAACACCCCGAAACCAACTCATGTCTTTGCCCCTCCTATCCCATCACTCCCTCACAACGATTCGTGCTCAGAATTTGACTTGGTGAAGCGGTCACCTGATACCTCAACGCATGTGGCACCATCGATGCGCTTAGAGCAAGGGTTCACGCAGGGCGCACAGATTGGTGTATTTTATGACCCGATGATTGCCAAGCTGGTGGTACACGGACGCGATAGGACCTCTGCGCTTCGCGCTCTTTGCCGTGCGCTTGAAGAGTATAAAGTAGTCGGTGTCTCGACAAATGTTGAATTTTTGAGAATGCTTGCTGGAAATGGCGCATTTATTAACGGAGAGGTTGAAACGGGCTTCATCAAGGTGCGCCTATTCACCTCGCCCTCTTGTTCAAGTTTATGGTGTCCTATGAATAGAAACACTACGAAGACCTTTTCCCAGCTGTCGAAAGTCCCTCAGCCGAGTTACTGGCACAAGCAGCGCTGTTCGTCGCACTACGAGAACATCCGATTCGGACTACAGGCCTTTCCACACCATGGACAACACTGACTTCAAGACGCTTTGGCGGAGATGTTTACCAGCGCACCATCTCCATCCAACCCGATGATGCCTCCGCAGATCCCACTCGAGTTTCCCTGAAGTCCATATCTCCAGGCCGCTTCGACATAACTGTTCACTCTGCCATACCAAAGACATTCACAGGTGTCTCGGCTCGCCTGGTTTCGCCTACAACATTGAGCACGATGCTCAACGGAGCTTCGACAGAAATTACGATTGTATCGCAGCGCCCGCCTCCTTCCCACCCTGCGTCACGGGCGACAAACACCATGGAACGGCTACACGTGTTCTCTGCGTCGGGAACCAAGACTACGTTAGCCATCCCACCTCCTGCGTACCTCCTCTCCCTCGGCCAGGATGTTCTAACCACATCCAAGGGTGCTTTGCGTGCGCCGATGCCGAGCTTAGTAGTAGAAGTGAAAGTCAGCGTCGGCGATCGCGTTGAGAAGGGTCAGCCAGTGGTGGTGTTGGAGAGTATGAAGACGGAGACTGTGTTGCGTGCTGAGGTAGCGGGTGTTGTGCATGCGGTGGGGTGTGCGAAGGGGGAGATGGTGGAGGAGGGGCGGGAGTTAGTTGACATCAAGGAAGATGAGTAGGAGGTGTGATTTGAGTGCTATCTGTATTTTAGTCGATGGATTTTGGGAAGTAAATCGTCTTCACATGCTCTGGACTTGAAACTTCAAGTCAATACTGACCGAGCCTTGGGGACTAGTTATGAGTCTGATGAAACAACGTGTATGAAGCAAGCTTGTAGTTAGTTATGATTGAGACACAGCTAGACCCTCCCATACGGAGTCGGACTCTCTTCAATTCTCCCTGCTTTTGCCAGCTGACTTCCAATACCAATCGTATCTTGCAAAAGATCTTCCCCTAGAAGCCTGAGCTCGCCGGGACCTCTCCCGTACTTGCGCTGCGCAGGGGGGATACCAAATACAGTCTCTTCCTGGACTCTCAAGCCATCGCCATCGCCATCGCCATCACCGTTGCCATCAACAGAATCAAAACTATCGTCGAATCCATCCCCATCGTCTTCTACGGCGCGCGCAAATGGATGCACAGCACCGCCTTCGTCGCCAAAACCCCCTCCGATCGAGTCACTGGAGTGGTTTGAATTCGACGAGCCGAATGAATCGTCCGGGTCTTGATTGCGTGCGGAGGCCATTAGGAACGCAGTCGATGGCTGTCCTGGGTGTGCAGGCTCGCCGAGAGAGTCTGAATCAGAGTCTGAGTCTGAGTCTGGACTATGACCAACTGGTTGCAATGTACTGGGCTCTTCTTGTTGAAAATGGAAAAGCTCAGGGTATGGATCGGGAGTGTGGAGGGCTTGTGGTTGAGAAGTAGGGGCAAACCGTGCTGTTTCGAGACTTTGGTGAGATGTGACTGAATGTGATTTTGATGTAGAGGCGGATTCAGGTATGCTGAGTCCTGCCCTGCGCATTATGACTGCATAATTTGAGCTCGCATCCTTGCTGTTGTGCTCAGAGAGATAAGCATGGCGGGTATATCGTGTTATGGATGGTGGGGTGGGGATCGTAGACATGGTATCGTCGGTGCCTTCTGGAATGGAGTAACCAAATTTCTTGAAGCCACCAAACCGGTCTACAGTGGCACTACTTCGGACGGAACTGTGATCAGATTGAACATCTCCAAGAAGATCGCGACGTATACGCTCTGCAGCTTCCTTCTTGGGTGTCCTTCCCAATGCATGGTGTAAATCCTTGCCTGGTGTCCGACCAAGTGGAGGTAGCAGGCCCAGTCCCACGCTAGACCTCGGTCCGCGCGGAAATGCCACCGTCCGCGGTGGCGAAAGACCACGCATGAGTTCTGCCGAGTCATCGAAAGAGTCGTTGAACTGATCAAATGGTCTATTTGAATCATCGGATGGTCTCGTTAGAGATGGTATATCTAGCATGGATGACGAATTAGAGGTGGATGACAGCGGGGGGTATGGTTTGTGCGGAGAGCGCTCATATCGTTGCCTCCTAGGTGATGGCAGTGGGGGGTTTGGATGATTGCGTGGAGGAAGATACGCGTGTAGATGTTGTGGGATTGCTACGGGTGTCTTGGGCTTAACTTTCAGTGGAGATATTCTTGCGCTAGCTGGGATACTACGAGGGGTGGGGAGCGCACTGGGCGGAAGCCGCAAGGATGAAAAATTGGGGCGTGATGTACCCTGCGAAACAGAATGTCCAGGTGAATAATCCCTTGACTTTCCCTTGTCCAAAAACTGCTGGACAGTGTTTTCTTCTTCATAAGCAAAGCTGTTGTAGGTAGAATTATGGCCCGCTGAGGCTTTGCTATCCTCCCCGAGAGTAAAGTCCTGGAGCTCGCGATCAAGCCGAACGAGTGGAGATTCTAGTGATGCACTCCAAGAAGGTTGATCATCCACAATATCATTGCCAGACAACCCAGTACGAGCCGGGGTAGATGATACTGCATTCGATGGCATGAAAGAGGATTCAGATGCAGTAGAATTTGGACCGTAAGTGCGATTGCGATGATGAGAAGGCGTTGTATCATCTTCGGTACTGAACAAAGAAGACTCCTCTGCGTCGGGTCGGGTGGAGGAACTTTCGGCCTGGGATAGTGCTTCTGACTGTTGATCATGCAAAGAGGAATAATCCTCATATGTAGGAATATGTACTTGTGCGGCTTTCTCGTAAAACGATGTCCAGAACTGAGATAGCATAGTAGGTTCATCGACGAGAAAACAGGATAAATCAAACTTACCTTTGCAGCTTCACGAACGGGTTCGGTGCTCACCGCATATCGCTTCACGGCTGGTAGCAACTTTGTGGCCATGATATTCTGAATCTTTGAGAAATTCGTGTCGATGTTCTAACGACTTCATCAGTGTTGGGCAGTAATAAGCACATAATTAACACCACCTGAAGTTTAATAGTTATCAGCTGTTCGATCTGGTCGATCTGGTCATTGACAGATGCATTAGTGTCGAGACCTGGAACATCTATGGATGTAGGATCAGCGTTAGCTTGCCAGCGCGGAGGATTCGGGATGATGCTCATCGTCGCGGATATCTAAGACGCGTCCTGTCACATGTGACATATACGTGCTTCATGTCACGCTCACCTCCATCTTGCAAATTTGACTCAATCTCTACTAGCACTTGTAAGTATGTGATGTTACATCACCATCACATCAAGTGCACCGTGCATCGAATATAGTGTCCTCTACATCGAATTCGCTCTATGCTTCCCTTTTTATGTGAATCCTTCCGATATGATAGCCGAGGTGCACGAAGAAGCAGATACTGAGGACGAAAAGGAGCAGGATTAGGCAACGAGGAGTGTGGTTTAAAGATGTTGCAAGGGAGTGAGTGTTATCAGTCAGGGACAGGTTAGTTGCATTTAAGCCACTGCGGCCCGCCATTTCTCGTCCGACTTCTCTGGTGCCATGTCGACAGAATGAGACCTTGTTGAGAGCTATTGGAGGAGCTGTTGCCCCCTTGGGTCCTGACCAACGAGACTGAAAGGGCACAAATGTATACTCCAACATGGGGACGTGCGACGCGTTCTACTACTAGTACGTATTTGAAAATAACTTCACTTGTTCGCAAACGTCGAAGTTCAAACATCACATGCAGATTATTACAGGTAATTCAACGGCGGAGGCTCCATATTGAATTATATCTATGCTCACTCCCAATCATTACGCGGCCAGAGATTGTCCCACCGCCGTGGCTTTCTATCAAGAAGATTCGACAATTAATCTCTGCTGAGATACACGAAAGAGCCCTCAAGGCAGTCGACCGCTCCCGTGCGCTGTTAATCAGTTCGTCCGTTTTTTCTACCGGATATTTTGCCCCGAGCGCGCCTCACCCGGTCACTGTGAGGCCGTCAACTCAAATCTGTGGAAGTGAGGTTCGTCAGCCCTCTCAAGGACCCAGAGCACGGGCTGTTTCGTACGGGGCCTTTCATTACAATGCGGCGGCGATTTTCCCATCAGTATACTCACAGTAATCATCTCTTAATGACAACGATCTCAGCTGGCAATGCGGAACAGAGATTTTCCGTGGTGTTGTGTATGGACTCGTACTCTTGAAAAGCACGCATTCCACAGCACTATTGGGGAATCTCGAACCGCAGCACGTTCTGGTTCCCTCCTTTGATCCTTATCCGCCTGACTCACAGCCTTTCGTGATGGATCGCGATATGAGTTCATGGACTCCTTCAAGACGCATTCAGCCCGCCATTAAGAAATCCCCAACTTTGCTCGGATCCTTCGTCGTATACGCCTGCCACTTTCGGTGTCGCCTGTTATCGAACGTGAGAGGGTAGTTTTTTGCTGGGGTCAGGCCAAAGAGGTTTCAGGAAGCCACGCAATTTCAACTCGACTCTGTGAACACGCAGATTTCGCGTCAGGCATGCTATGCATCTTCTGTAGACTCAGGTCTCAGGCCCCTCGGGCTTAAGCGGGAACTGCGCAATCTTCACGTCCATGAGAATCGACGACTATCATGATAGTCGTGTAAAATATGTCAATAAAGAAATCAGCTGCACCGAGCGCCGCTACAATATAGAATCCTTCACTGAAGAAATTGTCTGTATGTCTGAATACGATAGTCCGCGATGATTAAAAGAGTGCGAGCTAACGCGTGGGCTAACAATAATTTAAAAATATTGTTCTCTGCTTAGATTGCAAGACCACACTGCGACTGAACAGATCGTTCATCAGTGATACGATTCGATAAAACCATTCCAGGACTTACTGGATTCTCGGGGAACACAAGACCAGAACTGGCATTCGATAATCTGTTATTCTTGGGGTCATCCTTCAAGTCAGCGGACAGGTACTCTTTCCCCTTGCCCTTGCCCCTGGACTCGAACGGATATGGGTACATGATAGAGACAGTCTCGTGGCTATCACTGTCCCCAGAATCACCACTGAACCCTTCCTGGGACGTTTCACGTAAAAGTGGGTTGATGAAGTACGAATCATTAAATGGCGCAACTGGGGGACGGGATTGCGTTGGCGTTTGGAGGTCCTTACTTGATGGATCGTCGTCGTTTTCATCCTCCATAAGCGCATTGAGGCTCTGAGTTGCTATTGACGTAGGCGCATCACGATCTACAGGGCTTGCAGCTGCTACAGCCGCCGCCCAAGACTCTTGTTGCTCTGAGAATCTGCGAATTTTCACTGGAGGTGGCGTGGCGTCTTCAGATAAAGCTGAGACTACTTGGCGGCTTTGTGATGCGCGAGAGGCCACGAAATCAGAAAGATCGACGACTCGGACGCCATCGAGGAACGGGTTCACGGGGGGAATGGGGAATGCCGAAGGGCTTGGTCCAGGGCTATCATCATTGTCCACAATAGCGTGAGCCCCTGCGACAAGTGTGGTAGCAGCGGTGTGATATGAGTGGAGATCCATGCTTGAATGAGAGCCGATCGCGATACCTATACCGCCGCTCAGGCTAGACTGTCCATCATTAGACGCATAAAAACTCTGTGCGCTTGCGAAATTTCTCTCCGTGCCCTCTGATTCATTGTCCGAAGAGATATCACCATCGTTAGACTCTGTATCAATCTTGTGCAATGCTGAGCCAGACAAACTACGAGAAAAGTTATGCGGGGAACTGGAAACTGAGGGGTGAGGGAAAGCCGATGAGCTAAAGGAGTTTGCGGTGTGATACAGGTCGCCACGACTCTCACTTGCACCTTGCCCTCCTGCGACAGAGCTGTACGTAAGACTGTAAGGGTGATTCTCACGCATTGTCGTTGCTTCTGCTGGAGGGCGTGTCGCGGTAGGGTCACTATCGTAAAGCTGTTGGTGGGTCCGCGAACGCTGCCTGCGGCGGATGAAATAACATGCTGCAATACAGAGAAGCAGTAGAGCTAGGACTCCGCCTACAATCCCTCCAATGATTGGAGCTTCGTTTGACCTTTATTCCGGTGGGTTGTATGCAATGTGAAACGGTTGAAATAACGTACCTGGCTCCCGAAGTTGGCACTGGAGTTGTGGTACGAATCACGGACGTTGAGGTCGATGTCAGGGTCACGAGTACTGAGGTTGACCCAGAAGGGGAGTATGCTATAATAGTAGAGGTGCCAATCGAAGTATAGATGATCGAAGAGAACGTATCCCCACTGGGTGGGATGGGCGACGTCGTACTCATAACATTTTTTGCAACTCCGGTGAGGCTTAGAATCAGATAATTAGGTCAGCGCATTCCGGTAATAGCTCTAATAACTTACAGCGAGTTAAGATAAGTGGAAGACGGGTTGCCTACAGGACTGCGAGAGGGCGTAGTCAAACCATTCCCAGTCGGGATTGGAGTGTTCACAGAACTTCCGCTGGGAGATTGTAGTGCATGGGAAGATTGTGCACCCGGCACCGTCTTTGGCGAGGTAGCAGGACCTTGTATCGATGAGCTAGATGATGACGTCCCCCCTCTATTAGTACTTGATGTGGTGCCAGATGTGGGAGATGCATTGCCTGAAGTTGGCAGGGTCGAAAGTGAAGTTGACTGTTGGCTGGATGCCCGCTGCCCCGGAGTTGTAGTGTATGAAGTTGTGGAGGTCGTCGGCAAAGTTGTCCGTTGGCTGGATGTCCGTTGCCCCGGAGTTGTAGTTTGTGAAGTTGTGGGAGTTGTTGGCAAAGTCGACTGTTGGCTGGATGTCCGTTGCCCTGGGGTTGTAATGTGTGAAGTTGTGAAGGTCGTCGACGAAGTTGACTGCTGGCTGGAGGTCTGTTCACTCGGTAAAGGAGTGGAGAGATTCGTGTCCGACGTTGTAGATAGCTTATCTGTGGAGGAGCTAGATGTAGAATAAGTTGTAGTGGGGTTGCCTACAATTGCTGAGGTCGTGGATGAAGATGCCCGGGAGCTTGTCTCATTATCTACGGAGGAGCTAGATGTAGAAGAAGTTGTAGTGGGGTTGCCTACAATTGCTGAGGTCGTGGATGAAGATACTCGGGAGCTTGTCTCCTTATCTGCGGAGGAGCTAGATGTAGAGGAAGTTGTAGTGTGGTTGCCTACAATTGCTGAGGTCGTGGATGAAGATGCCTGGGAGCTTGTCTCCTTATCTGCGGAGGAGCTAGATGTAGAAGAAGTTGTAGTGGGGTTGCCTACAATTGCTGAGGTCGTGGATGAAGATGCCTGGGAGCTTGTCTCATTATCTGCGAAGGAGCTAGATGTAGAATAAGTTGTAGTGGGATTGCCTACAATTGGCGAGGTCATGGATGAAGATGTCTGGGAGCTTGTCTCCTGTCCCGGTAGAGAACTGGACTGGCTCGTGGTCGATGGCACAGATGGTTTCTGCGTGGGTGGTGGAGGTAGCGAGGTTGGTATATTTGAAGGTAGCGAGGTGAGTATGGATGAAGGTGGCGAGGTCGGTGTGGTTAAAGGCGGCAAGGTGAGTGTAGATGAAGGTGGCGAAGTCGGTGGTATTGTTGAGGGAAGATCTCCTGAACCAGACCCAGATTCCTTACTAGGAGGTGAGGGACTAGAGGCATCTGACGAGACACTCGCAGGAGGACCGCTGTTTGGGGGACCAACAATAGTAGGACTGTTTTGAGGAGTTGTCCCTCCCGTGCTTACAGGTGGCGATAAGCCTGTAGTGATTCCGCCTGACAGTGGGCCATTTGTCGGTGCTCCTCTACCAGTGCTCATCGATGAGTATGAAGAAGGCGAAATGGATGTTAACGTATCCGTGTTCGGCTCTGACCCCTTATTATTAGTTAACGTGTCATCTGACTGTAGCCTTATGACGCCCATGTGAGAAATTCGCCGGATTTCTATGGACGACGACAACGGAACGTACAATGGTGAGAATGGCGTACCAATCGAGGCGCTGGGGATTTGTCCGGATATCTGTGATGAAATAAGTCTATATGTTCCGCAAGACGAAAGAGTGCTCCGTACCGTCAGCGAGGATGACAGACTTGTCAGCGATTGTGTATTCTGCTGATGTGTGATCTGGGTCCCATCCGATGGGTAGCTAGAGAACGAAGTTGGGGTTGATGGGTTAAGCGGTCCTGTAGGCGCAGGTGGAGTTCCGGTGGGGAGAGGAACGGAAGCGTCACCTCCAAGAAATGCGGAACGAACAAAGGGTCCTCGAATGAGCATACGAGAGAATGGGAACGAGGATGCGAAATCCACTTTCATATCAATTCATCCGCGGGATGATATCTACCTTTGCATGCTACATAGCGAGGGCGATGTAGGCTATTTGTTGCGTTACCCCTTGATGGCGGGTGTCTCAGTTGGCGTCTGAGAAGTGATTCTCCGAGTCAACGTTTCGGAAGATCGATGGGCTAGCCCATGGGTAGAACCAGTTTCGGCTCGTTCGTATAACGGGATACCGGAGCCGCCAAGATGTCTGACGGTCAACGTTTTCGTCCACAAAGAGAAGCCTGAGGCGTGAATTACTGACTTAAACACTCGAGAATTGCACGCGAGTGGAGTTGTGGCAGTGATTTTAAGATCAACATCATGATGCGCAAATCACAACAGGACAGCAACACATCGCCGTCCAGGGACAATCCACGGAGCAAACACCACGGGGAGTGTCAGGCAAGAGGTCATCCCTTTATTCCTGCATGTCAATAGATCTGAAAGGCTCATGTGCCACTTGTCTTCGAAACGCTAAAGTAGAGTAAGAAGTCTGTTATCAATGTTAACGATGCTTATCAAAAGTTACCGTCGTTCCTTTTGTACGAAAATTGTCAGCTGAGGTTGACGAAATGAGATCTTCAGATGGGCCTCACAGAGAGAAGCAGCGACGCCCACATGAAGGAAAGAATGAACTAAAAATAAGAGTGCAACCAAAGATCGCATAAGTGCCGTCTAGTACTAATGAAGCTCTACGCCGGTGCTAGTGGCTGATCTTCGCGAAGAACAGGTCTTCTATGCAAACCCGACGAAACTGCAACCCGATTGAGCCCCGAGGAGAGTCTTTGCAGTGTTTTTGAATGGGCCAGTCATCATCGATACATATTGATTGATCACAGCCTATGGGAGCGTTGGAGTTGCGGTGCCGTACGTGAAGCAGTTCTGCTGTGAGAAAACTGATGAGCATGCCAGCGGGCAGGCACACGCGCATTCTCGTGCTTGTTTGTTGACGGTCCACACAATACATTTAGGTTGGGTTCAGTGTCAGAAGCCAGGAGAGAAGATACGGCTCTAGCAGCTCCCTTGGACCACGGAATTGAGAAGTACGGATGAAATGAAGTCCTTCGTTCGGCAGGAGGCTTTTCCCATGAATAGTAGACGATGATCTTGCTCGCATGGAAAGCGTTTAAATTGCATGCCGGGGATTTTTGAAGAAACCGCCGTGACATCGGCGGTCGTGTATAAGTGAAACCTAGATATGCTCTCTCCGCGTGACACGATGTACCTAACTTCGTCTAGTATAACACCGTCCGCGGCGTAGGTGTTGACCTGGACGCTGTTTTGATACCTCATATCGCCCAGGAAGTAGAGGTAGCCCTAGCGGCGTGACAGCCAAAATAAGAGAAATTTAGAAAAAATAGCCACGTGCCAAGTGGAACCTTCTTTTGGAAGCGCTTGTCGCGACTAGCCTCTTGTTAGCCTGTTGCACTTATAAAAACCATTTCTCAAGCACGATTAGGCCTTCGGTTTTCTCTCTAGACCATCCTTGTCTCTGTGCCCGTCTTGTGGTTGTCCACGACAATGGCTCGGCCTCTGGAGCCAAACCGGCGCCGATCCCTTTCCGACCCACTGGCTGCTGCGCTCATGCCCCCTCCAAACGAGAGTGCTGCAGATCGTGAAAGGAGATTGGAAGCAGAGTCAGAGGCTAAGCGGGTCAGTGATGGAATTGATGAAATGCTCCGTGCAGAGAAGAAAGAGAAGAAGACAAAACCTGAAATTAAGGTCTTGATTCTGGGACAGAGTGAGAGCGGCAAGAGTACGACTCTGAAACGTGAGTCATCATCACATAGACTTTCTGCTTCGTCTCTTCATTTTTTTGTGCGAAAACGAGCTGCAGACATAATAACTTCATGCATTGGACATGTCTGGGCTACACTAACCCATTTCATCCAGAATTTCAATTGATGCATGCGACTGCTGCCTTCCATGCTGACCGAATTGCATGGAGAGCTGTAATATATCTTAATCTCGTACGATCCGTTCGCCGGTGAGTCCTATTACCACTTCAAACCCAGTAGCATGTGTGATAACGACGCCTAATTCCAGAATCCTTGATGCTGTCTCCCCTGAATCAGACGAAGCAGAAGATCAGGAGTTGACTAGCCTGTCCTCCGCGACTAGGGTCGTCAAGTATCCCCAATATCGTCATGCATTGGAACCTCTGAGAGAGCTGGAGGAACGTTTGATCCGAATGTTATCATCCCCGAATGGAGACGAGCCTACCCACACTGCCCCTTCAAAGCCTGATTGGAGTATCTATGCAAACGGTAACTCTAATGCCCATGTTACTGTTGGCAAGAACGGCCGACCCGCACCATTCATCACCATACCACCATCATGGACATCCTCCCCGCTTTCTCCCTCGACGAGCCTCCCTTCCCCTGGTGGGTCAAGCAACAGCTCGTCTAAATCAAAGAATGTAGAAGTTAGCGTTCATCATACCTCGAACTGGAAAAAGGCCTTTTCCCTTGGCAATAGGATCAAGAGTCCTAAGAGTGCACACACTAATGAAATTGAGGGCTGGTGGGACGATCCAAGTGACCCTGTTCATGTGCTCAATTCTTGCGCTCAGCCGATGCTGGCATTGTGGAAAGACCCCAGTGTCAAACAGCGCCTACGGGAGAAGCGGATCAGAGTGGAAGAGGGCAGTGGCTTGTGGGTGTTTCGTATCCGATATTGTATTTTTCTTGACGACAAACAGCTTTTTGGACGAAATATCCCGTATCACCGCTCTACGGTATTTTCCGAGCGATCGTAGGTTAATTGGCTGTCTAAAAACATGCCATCTCTCACAATATTTGTTTAGAGGATGTCTTGAAAGCTCGGCTCAAGACCACGGGCGTCGTTGAGCACTCTTTCTCAATTGCTGATTCCCAGCGCCGGTTCACCACATGGAAGATTTATGACGTAGGAGGTTCCCGAAATCAACGGCACGCTTGGGCACCTTACTTCGAAGATGGTAATTATATAACTCGTTCTTTTGATGAGAATCATTCGTTGATATTTCCATGTAGTGAATGCGATTATTTTTCTGGCACCTATCTCTGCTTTCGATCAGTTATTAGCAGAGGTCAGTAAATGATTGCTCATCTCTACGTGACGTACTGATAATTGTATAGGATCCGGAGGTGAACAGACTAGAAGACTCCTTGCTGTTATGGAAATCCGTCATATCAAACAAACTACTTGCACACGTCAGCATCATTCTTTTCCTAAACAAGGTCGATCTTTTGCAGGTCTGTTGTTATTCCTTCGGAAAGCAAGGCGATGATCCTGACGATACTTTAGGCAAAGCTCAAGAGCGGTGTACGGCTCAGCCACCATATCCCGCGCTATGGCGACAGACCAAATGATTACGAAAATGTATCTACATGTAGGTGGTAATGGTCCTTGCCATCAGGAGTACCTCTCAAGTAGTTTTGTGCAGACTTTTATAACAAGTTCGGTAGCATTCATCAAGCATTCTCGTCGAATAAGGAGAGGGAGTTCAAGAGTAGGCAAACCTTAGCATCGGAGGACTCGTTTCTTACGCTGCACGATAGTTCATTTCACGTCAGTTACTGACACCAGGCGGACTGCCACGATCATACAGAATGGTTCGTGATATTTTGTCCTTAAGGGCTGATTGCTCACTATTTTGTTACAGTACGAGATATCATCATTACCGTAAACTTGAAGAACATTCATTTGATGTAACGCCTTTTACCGCTCTTTACCCGAGGCGCCTAAAATCATTCCTTTGACGGATTTCTACATTATCCGCGTACTATTATGCCCTTTCTTTATTCATCTGTTATTGCAATTGTTCGTTCCAAGCATCCCCCATGAGTTCAAATACTGTTCTTCTATCTCATATTCAGACCTTTCAGATTGTATACCATGCGTCCAGCATTACGATTGTTGACTTAGTAGTAGTACAGATTTACCATACCCTTCCGCTAATTAGATTTTTCATACCAGTATTAACGTTCGACTACTCTTACCCTTCACTCGAATGCGACGAGATGCCAGGAAAGGCGTTATAATATTATCATCTTCCTCATTATATGGTGTCAGTTTTCCCATTCAGACACTAGATCTAAGCCATCAGCCTGTGCGCATGCATCCCAAATCGCCGGCGGCCGGGCCTGGCGGTCCCGCCCAACCGGTGCGCATTGCCTACATATATCAATCTCGCTCCAGTCACTTCCTCGTTATCGTCCGTTTCGAGACCAGTCATAGCGTCCCAAACAGCCCTGTTTCGCTGCCCTCCATCGCACATTGCCGTCGGGTTCATCGATGAGCAAGTCCAGTTTTTTGAACTTTGTTCGCGTCATGAGTATTCCGCAGCACGCTCGAATTCATTTACCAGGCACCAGGTCCATAAGCATGACATTGCGTGAATATGATCACAAAAATATACAAAGACAGGTACCATAAGCAGAGCTACAAATGGGGCACGATACTCGTCCATGACACCGCCAGGTATGCGCCAGGAGGAAAATCGCGTATGGTGGTAAACATAAGCACCAAGAGTATGACACGTCCTGAGACGTATGACAGGACACAAAATACAATGAATGGGCCCATCAGGTATCCGAATAAGGCTCCAGCAATGGGTGTGCCAGTTATAGCAATAGCACTTATGCGCCATAGCGCCCGATCCGTCGATGTGGGGAAGGTAAAATACCAAGCGATACAATGGACGCCGCCGAAGATCGTTGCCATAAGGAATGCGGCAACGAAAGGAACATACTCGTACCAGCCCTCCAGTCGGATGTGGCCACCAAATGTTCGAACTCGTAGCATTCGGGATGATGGGGAGCCGTTAATATCGGGGGCACCCAGCATCTCCACAGGTGAAAGTAAGAATGTTAAAATGATTTGCAAAATCATAGGGAAGGACTCTTCAAATTCTTCATACCTGAGGGAGACATAATCAGTAGCAGTAAAATTGATCGAGGCAACGACATACTCATTAAAGTAGTCGCTTGGTACTGACGTGGTTGACTTCCAGTACACTGGGTAAGGACATTGTACATCGAGGGGCTTATTCCACCACATAGGATATGTGAGGAAATTGAGAACCGCAAAAGCGAGTGTCGCTATTTCAAACTCGGTGGTGTCGAGGTGATAGACAGCGCGGGTGATGAGCTGCATAACGAACCACCCCACCTGAAGCATGAGAGTTCCTTTTGATATCACGTTGCCTTTGCTCTTGTCGCGAATCTGATTTGCCGTTATGATAGGTGCATCGATACACCCTTCGTCTATGAGCCTGAGAAGTTGGCCAGGCTGTATTGTAGAGTAGGGTTTCCCGTCTACATCATAAAGCATGAAACCGCCCATCAGCACAAAGAAGCTGTGCGTCTGAGTCCACTCATAATCTACGCAATCACATGAGTCAAAGCCGTCATTTGAGATAAGGTGAATCAAGCTTACCTTCAAATTGCTTTGAAAAATAAGCCTTCCATAACGTTTTGAATGGTTTCGCGAGAGCACGAGTTAACCCATATCCTGAAGTGGACACCGGAGTACTATGAACTGCCGAAGCAGCAACTTCAGCATGCGGTTCGAGAAGCCGAGTGCCGTCACGATCTTGAGAAGTGAGGGAGGTATGAGGAATTGTTCACGACGCAAAATCAAATGATCGTTTCACCTTCAAGTTCATATTGCTCTGCAGGTGCTTCAACACCGAAATGTCCCGATTTCTTGAACTTCTTTGTAACCTGGCGAGCGCTGAGCCACTGGCCCATGGCCCATGCGATGATGAGTTCAGGATAGAACAGCACCATTATCATCATACCAAGTCGCCGCCATATGATAGAAACGGGACTGTCCTCAGGACTCGGAATATTGGGGTGAACGGTGCTGTATATGCACGCAAAGAGAGTGAGAACACAACTGGAGATGATATTCCACAAAGTTCTGTTCGTGAATGATAACGACAGAGCTTCATAATCTTCGCTAGTATTGATAGTCTGGGAAGCTCGGATCACTTGAACGAGGTAGAGGATCGTGCAGAAAAATAAGCGCATTACTTGGGGGAAGGTGTTAATGTCGTATATCGAACATCCTGCTCACTTTAATATCTCAGTGGCGGACATGGGTTCCAGGTGCCATCGATGAGCACAGGTTGACCTGATAGCAACCGTCTCGGCAAGGAATGTCAGACACCCGTGACTGCCAGCCTCTGCTGGCCGCCGAAAACCCATTGCACAGCGTTTCGCTAGTGACTTTAGATGGTTAAATTTTGAAAGTAATTAGTGGCGTCAACATATCACGTGATAGCTGAATTTGGTAATTTTGGTCCTAGATGAAGTTACTTCCATAGCAGACACTCCTCCCTATAGCTACAGTAGATACTCCGATGAGTACATTTTTTCACCACTCTCTTGGATCAAACCCAGAGGACTTCACACGAAGAAGAAAGCTGAAGATCTAGCATGCACTCTACCGGGTGCAAAGTTGCTGTTATCGAGAAGCAACCTTGCGATAGGAATAATGCACAGAAGATAAAATACTGCCAGCCTCTGGCTAAGCAAGGCATCAGATCTTGTACAAGACAGCCGCTTGCAGATGACTTATCTCTCTAGCTTTTCAGTCCACTAGTGAGTTGAAGTCACAACCATGCCGTTCCCGTTGGTATAATAGGTACAAGTATTGTACCAGTAGCTCAGTTCTCCCGACATCGACCCAGGTTTGCGATCACGGAATGTTAGCAAAGACACGCCTCGAGACTATCTGACTAATATTGTCATCTACCTCAAACATTACATGGCGTCAATAATTTCCTTCAATTCTACCTCGTCCAATATCGCAAAGCCTCTCTGTGGCGTGACCTATGGGGAAGTTAGTTACGAATATTCGGGAGAGAATGCAGAGAGACACATGCCTGTGCTAACTGGACGTTGTGGTGATCTAGTTTCTCCTCCATGACTTGCTTTAGGACTCGCAGCGTCAGTTTTTGTGCCTCAAGCAACGTCATTTGCTGTCCAACGATGCGTTGAATACGGAAGAACACGTTCAAGATGTGAGTATTATACCTTATGCCACTTGTCCTGCAGCTCGCTTTGTGCTGCTTCTGACCCTGACCCTATGGCTTTTGCATTATACCTCATGAAGGTGCCCGAGGGATCCGTGTGGTATCTACCAATAGTCCGCAGGGGATCAGGTTGAACAAGGCTATCCACTTGGTTGCACTCACAGTTGTGGTCCCAGTTCGTCGACACCAGCAATAAGCAGCGCAACACCAAAAGGCCGACTCATCATCGCCTCTTCGTCGTGCACACTTTCACCAAATCGCAATGCCAGATCACACACAGCCTGAGTGACACTCTCAACTTTAATCCTCTCGTCATAAGTGAAAGCATGATTCTGGGCGGTGACGCGTGCATGGTCGATCATGGTGCGAGCGTCAGCTGTGAGGCCTGACATTGCGCATCCAAGGTGGGTATCGATTTCCATAATCTTTTCTATGGAGCTTGATTCTAGGAGTGGAGATTGGACGCGCTTCTCTACTGCGAGGACTACGCCATCGGGAGTGCGTACGCCAACTGTTGTCGATCCGAGCTGGGGAAGATAAGATATATATTCGTGTGCACGATTTCGTGTGTACCTTAATAGCTTCGATAGCATATTCGACTGTATCCTTTCAGATAACAATTTCAGGATGTCGGGTTGTCTAACGCACCTTGGAACAGTCGACCTTCTGGGGAGAATGTGTTGACACCACGATCTGCAAATACGATGAGCTCTATAGGATGATGATGTTGAGCCGTCAGAATGAACACACCGTACTCGGAACGCGTCAAGAACATGGTTTACAGGGAGTAGAGAAGTGGAAGTATGAGGGGTTCTGCGTTAAGTGCACTTGTCGACGCGCGTCGGTCGGTCAAGCTGGCGTGTGGAAAAGAATTTCCATTTGCAGGACTGATGTGGCACTTTTCGGTCTTCAAGTTTGCTCTCCAATCTCGTCTCGAAAAAATGGTTGACTGATTTTAGAGTACTCCTTGCTATGCTTTGGTGTTCAGTCGAGTAGCGTTGACAACTACTGGGTATCCAAGAGGCTTCATCTCAGCTCGACTGAACATCATCGTAACATCATCGACAGATTCAGGGTAGGCAGGGTATCTCAGCAACTTGTTATCAGATGCGAGTACTTTTGATGGCGACTGCTGCTTTTGGCCCCCATAAATCTCACTTTCCATACAGCGCAATAGCCTTTTCTTTTTCCCTGTCGTTCTTCAGGTTCCATGAGTATATGAGAAGGTGCGCGCACATCTACAAATTGTGTCATTTATTATCTTCTCCCATTTACCCAGATACGTCGATGATAGCACCCTTCTCGTCCATGATCACCCAGTTCAATGATGGCTCCTTCCTCAAATTTCCAGAAGAGTGCTTGGAATTGCAAGTTTGAATGCGTGGTTTGAACTAGACGTCGTTGCTAGCAAAGACCTCGCTTGCATGTTTTTAGTGGTGTGGTCGGTCAACTAGTCTCATTAAACACCAGTCACTACGGAGATGATACATATGCATCTAGATCTGCTAGTGAATTACAAGCTTAATGATATCGATAGATCTCTTAGAGGTAACGTTCTCGCAAATCGGCCGGCCAGTGGGCTTAGCGGCGCTCAGCTCAATTACTCCACTTGCTTTCAACCACTATGTCAGCTGCTACACAAACACCGAAGCCTGTCGACTTGCGCTCTATCTTGACTTTCGCCGTCAAGCTCGCGCGCACTGCCGGTACATTGATTCTCGAGGGCTCACAAGCCATTCAGTCAACCTCGGATGTCAATGAAAAGAAGAATTCTGTCGATTTGGTTACCGAATACGATGTTGCTGTCGAGGAGCTTGTGAAGAGCGAGATTGCCATGGCTTACCCTAGCTTCAAGTTGTGAGTCTATACCGTACGCAGAAACTGAATGATGCTGATCGATTCGTGTCCTGATAGCATCGGAGAGGAATCGTACTCCTCTGGAACACGCAATGAGCTCACGGATGAGCCAACATTCTGTGTTGATCCGATCGGTAGGTTATGATCTCATATCGACTTCGTTGGGATCCGACAGTGACTTTCAGATGGCACCACGAATTTTGTTCACGGCTTCCCATTCGCTTGTATTTCCCTCGGGCTGATCTTCCAGAAGCGGCCCGTTCTAGGTGTCATATACAACCCCTTCCTAGATCACCTTGTATGCAATATAGTGCTGAGTGACATCAAAGGCAGTCGCTAACTCTTATATCAAGTACACCGGGATCGAAGGTCAAGGATCATTCCTCACCCGTGGCAATAGCCAACCTCTAAAATTACCCCTCACCAACCCTAAGCCCCTCCCCTCCTTGCAGAAGGCTCTTCTAGGTACGTCACGCGTCATGCATGAGGATACCCAAACTTACTTTCCCAGCCATCGAATGGGGTTCCGACCGTGGCAAAAAGACCCTAGTACCAAAATCCGACTCATTCTTGCGTCTCGCAGGCGATCCTGCAGATGGCATCGCAGGGGGACGGATGGCTCATTCCATACGTTCCCTAGGCAGTGCAGCGCTTAATATCTCGATGGTCGCTCAAGGTGGTCTAGACTTGTACTGGTGAGCTGTGTTATTGCACGTGTTACACTCTCTGACACAAATGCGTTTCCTTGACGCAACGTGGATAGGGAAATAGGTTGCTGGTGAGTGTACTGTACTTTTATACCGATCATCACGTTGATTCTCGACAAGGCCATGGGATGTTTGCGTAAGTAGACCCGTTGTATGTGCTCGATATCTCCACCTCACCTTGTCTATAAGGCCGGTGTCGTTATTGCCCAAGAAGCTGGTGGTGTAGTAGTCGGATCCCACGCAGCTCTGGCCGCCGCAACATCTGCTGGCTGTAGTATCGATCCTTTCAAGGTCACGCCAGAGGTCTTGACAGGTCGTAAGTATTTGATCATCCGTGCTATCCCGGATACCCCCAATGAAACGGGTAAAGAGGCGCAATTGCGGATTGCTAGAGATTTCTACCAGACTGTGGAAGATGGTGAACCGAAGTAGAGTTTTCCTCGCAGAATCTTTCAAAGTATATAGATTAGGATACGAAAATGATCTGTATATCGACCCGTTGTATGTTAATGGACACTTGACTTACCTTTTCGGAGAAATAACTCGTAAATTCAAAGGGCAGGATGCAATATTGTCAAACGAACAGCGCATGTTGACAGCGTCGTACAAATACATGAGCCAAAGGTGACCGGTGCCGGTGATGTTGGAAGAGATGCCTAACAACCAACACTGTTGAGGCTGTGGGTAGCTTACCAGTGGAAAGACACAGGCAACTGTGAAGACACGAACACTGGCGGACTAGGATAACATGTACACCATCAAACGCCATTTCTCCCTGCAGACTCGATAGGCGTTTGGACGTACCACAGTGACGTGTTCGTCGATATAACCCTTCAATTTCTTAGCCACGAGGTGCATCGCCATATCTTAAAGGAGACCGACTAAGAAGATAAACTCCTGCGTAGATTTGAATGAAGACATCGACAGGCACAAAGACCCGCGCAGAACAATTCATCGGACCAAAAGCCAAAAATAAGAAGAGGGAACCCACTGCAACACAGGTTTCCAATGATGCAGATTGGAGTGTTTCGCGGTTCATCTTGAAAATGCCACCACCAAGTAGCTCGATGTGAAACCCGTGGTTTATCTTGGGTTAGTAATTGCGGGTGAGACCTCGACTGTATTTTTGACCCATGTGAGCTGAACTGAACCATGTCGTGATCTTAAAAAAGTGTAAGTAATTGATGTTGATCCATTCTGCATTTTGGAGCTCGTCTGAAGACGTACTACGTCTCGTACTCCAGAGTGCATCTTGGTTGAATGTTCAATTGTAAGATAATATTATCAGATAGGGCTCGCCGCCCGCCAATCACGACCTTCCTGAATTAGATCGTTTTGTCATCAACATGCGTGGGACTCAATGATCGGAGCTACTTACTGTCGGTTATCCTGACAACCAAGTCACACCAACTGACGAACGCCGTCATGACAGAGCATGACAGCTTTGCGATGCAAATCACAAAGTTTAGTCGTGGTTTTCAAGTTCTGGTTAACTTACCTTCACGAGTTTGGCGTCGACACTCTCCAGAGACTAAGCTCTACTTAAGTCTCTGAAAATGTGGTCGGGGACTCTTTCGCTGACGCTGACGATTCAGTTTGTTCACGGTTTCGACGTGGACCAGTGGTCTCATCGTTTCAGCCCAATCCTATTTTGGGACCAAGTCAGCGCCTTGTTGTAGCAAGGCTGAGGGCTGTGGCTGCAGTGCTTGATATAGCTCTTTCGGGGACACCAGTCACGGCCCGTGGAAAACAACCGCTGCGGCAGGGTCTAAAACAAGTTCCTGGAACTGGGACGCATCCCGTGTGACTCGCAAGTCATGCTCTCTCAAGGTGCACGGTTGCACTACTAGTTGCTCTCTCCATTCCTGCCATCCGTCCTGCCTACCTCACAGACGCTCTTCGTCCTTTGAGCACAATAAACCATGGATCGTCAGCTTGATCTGCAGCGCAGACAACAGAATGGAAACTCTTCAGCTTCAGCCTCAGCTTCTGCGTCTATTTCCGGCTCGGCATCCCTCGTAAACGGGAGTACCCCATTGCCAACAGTCCCAACAGGAGCTCAACCTGGAATAATCACTATAACCATGCCTCCCATCCAATCCAACTCCTACTACAAAATTGCCCCCAGCGAATATGTTACGTTTGGGTGGAACTTTTCGAGCATCATTGTGACACCCACCGCCCTCACTGTTGCAGCAGTAGGCGCAAACGGAAACACATATCCCATAGGCCCCACCGATGGTGTCATTCCCGGGACCGCTCAGAGCGTGGTGTGGTATCCATATGGCTACCAGACTGCAAACCCTAGCCTTCCACTGGCTCAGGAAAGCTACACGCTTCATATTTGGGCCCAGGGTGGCCCTAGCGCATTCCCCTCTCCTGGTTACCTGGAGCCAAACAGCGAGCTTGTGTTCGCTATGTATACGCCACAGGCATACACACCTTTGGCTAGTGGTAAGTCTGCGTTCATTCATGCGCGCCGTCGATCTTATCTTTGAACACACTCAGGGTGGCAATGTGCCGGATGCTCAGGAGCGTTGCCCCAGCTTAAAATAAACTCTGCTCTCCCCGGTGTTGTTGCGATGATTATTATAATGCTGCTCTCTGGGTTCACCACCCTTCGCCGCGTTTGGGACTGATCTTCGTTGATCTATGATTCCCTAGGTCTGGTTTCTGGAGGTTGTAGAGGATGGTGGCATTTGATTGACATTTAATGGATTATTATGGTTTTTAATCGGACTGGATATTTGCATTACATGTAGACTTACTTCGTGCTCATCGTTTGGCACGATATATATGGACAGGTAATGATGTCGTTCTACACAGTACTACTGTCATTGATTGAAGCCTATTATACCTGCGCAACTTGGACACTAATGGCATGGTCGTGTATTGCTTGGCCTGTCGCCCTATTTCCTGAATGAAGCTGGAACTCCATCCTCGTTGCATTCCCGATACACATGGTCCAGCCAGGTGGCGGCCGTGGCCACACATTGCTACTGAGCTTTCAGTGCGATCTGCGCCGGACAGATCTATCGGCATCCAGAGGCGTGCCCGCAGGTGTTTATTCCCTTAAATGTGCTTCGATCGTGCTAGCAATATGATCTGGGAGGGAGCTGTTCATTTCTGGGGACTCCAATCGATGGCTCAATTCACTTATTGGTATGACTGCTGAGGCGTCCAGATAACTATAAGCGCAGTTTTCAATCTTGATTTCTGAAAGCATGGTTCGTGGCCGTCCATCATCACGTTCTCATTTATTCTCTTGATTGATCTCATCTTGCTTGCCATCATTATTAGGACTTCGTTTACAAGGCTATCTTAGCTGCATATGTGCCGGTCCCCACTCTATGGTGTTCTTCACCTGCGACTCAAAGTGCTAGCAGCCAAAACTCTACATACGAGAATGCACTGGCACTCCACCAGGTGTGAAGTTACTTTTCAAAAGCGGCACCTGGACAGAGATGATCCAAAGAAGACATACTATTATAGTTAGCGTCTGGCTAACCTTGGGCTAACCAAGGCTTCAGATCTTTCACAAGGCTGACCCTACCTGTGAAATTTGAACACTAATAATAACATGCATCACTTAATCACATCTGCCGTCCATAGTCTGGTAAGTACATGTGTCGAAGTATCCATCGCGTTCATTTATTGCGGATGTGTATAGGAAGCAAGTCGATTCTGACCTGGGGCGCCGGTATGTAAGTTCTGTTCGAAGTGCTGGATTGGACCAGCAATAATTTCCCCCTCTTTCAACTTTCGCACTTATCATCGGAAACTATATTTTTGAGCGACCTAATATTGTCACTAGCTCTCAATTATAACACGTATTGTCCTTATAGCCCGCCTAGTAGCGCCAACTAATCCCAATACACCAAGAGTTTCGTATTTGACCCCTAGCGATTCACGTGTCACAGAACCTTGATTCCATTCCTGAGAAAATAGAACACCTCCGGATCGGCTGTGAATTGATCATGCTTGTTTTTGGACATCGAAAACGGAGCAGTCACCAATGAAATTGTGAATATCGTGATCAATGTCCTACGCAATCCTCATAAGATACGGCCAGAAGGTGAATGCATCCTTGATGAATCCTGCGACAGTAAGTGCTTCTGAATTATTTGATGACCATCTGAAGTCTAAGGTATTTTGCATAGATTTTGGGCTCGTGCGATCCAATCCGCAAGCCTGTCTTCTCAACGTCACTTGAAACATTTATTGCATACCTTCATGGATTGGCTGTCGAGGTTCTTGACCGTGAACAAGGTCATAGGCGCAGTATCGATGACTACCTGAAGCTCCGGCAGTATACGACTGGTTTAAAACCATGTTTATTCATATATGAAATGAGGATGGACCTTCGTGATGAAGTGTTCTACCATCCCGTCATCGTGGATCTTGCTGAATGCATCACAGTCGGACTTTGTTCTGATCGACAATGTACAGCGGTATTGAGGACGTCTTGATTTGCGGTATGCTTACGATCTTCACAGACATAATCTCGTACAATAAAGAGCAAGCGGCTGGGAACGAAGACCGTAACATGATCAGTATTATCATGTTGGAACTTGGCCTCGACGTAACTGCGGTGCAATGGCTTGGGCAGTGCATTATCACGCCGCAGTTCAGAAACGATTCAATGATGGTCTTGGGAAGGTTCCTTCATGTGGGCCTTCCATCGACGTCCTAGTCAAAGAGTATCTTGACGGGATAGCAATGTGGCCTCGAGCAAACCATTCTTGGAGTTACGAATTTCACAAGTAAAATGAATTTCTCATTGGTAGCCATCATTTAACCCGATTGGAATGGCAGGTACGTTGCCACCAGGGGCCGGGAAATCCAGCAATCTAGGCTTGTCCCGTTGTTTCCAGGACCCGACAGCCTATGAAAACATAACTTATCCTTTAGAATAATACGGTCCACGTAGGTCAGTGTGCAAGTACATCATGATAGGCACTATCATCTCAATACGTAATATTGCAGCACAAACACATATATCTTCAGGAATTCTCCGTAGAGTCCGACGCTCGTTTCTCATGCACTTCGTGATGATAGTGTTTCTCGCTCGGTCGCCAGCCCACTGAACGCCAGGATGGGGTGCCAGAGCGGTACAACTCATCCACCTAGTTGTTCATCAGATAGGCAGAAATTTACAACGTGCAAGAATTATTACCTCTTCTAAAGTTAGACCTTTGGTTTCAGGGATTGCGAAATACACATAGATGTATCCAAAGACGAGCATGCCGAAGAAGACCAACATTATCATTGGGCCAATCCTGGTGAGGCGTTCAGACTCCGAGAAATGTCCTAGAACCTTTGGCTGTAGTTTAGACTCACCGATCGACAATCCTCGGAGAGAAGAACGAAAGCATGAAGTTCCAGAACCAGTCTTGGACAAGCATGAGCAACGAATTCAGATAGTGGAAAGGAAGCAATCATACTTGTCGCGCTGCCGAGAGCAATTGACTTGGGGCGCACTCGAAGAGGGAAAGACTCTCCCAGGTACACCCATGGAGTAGGTCCCCAAGTCGTGCCGAAGATGAACACTTGAAATACTGCGAAGGTAATAACGACGTCGCCCCCAGCTCTATTACGAGCAGTAAGCGCTGAAGTCGGTGTTCCGGTAGGCGCAAGGGTGGTATGCCCAACTAAAGCAACCTAACAGAAATATCAGTCCAGCACTGTTTTCCAACGGATAAGGTGCACGGACAATCAGTGCACAGATAGCTTGCCCAGATGCGCCAAGGAGCAGGGACTGGAAAAAAAACAGTAAATTTCGGCTCTAATGGTCTAGGGGAAGGAGGCATACCTTTCGGCGACCCCAAGTCTCAATGAAGTACAGCGCGGGGAGAGTTCCGATAACTGATACCGCTCCAAGGACCGTCTGGATGACATAAGGTGAAAGTCTGCCATTACATGAGCTAAACTGCATTGCACGGAGAGATTTAAGACTCGCCCTGCACCCGCACTCTGAAAGAAGGTGTCGCCATAGTAGTCTGTCGGCAACAGCCATTAGTGGTCCAAAATCAACCGGCATGAGCGATCCTACAGTAAAAGTTCTGGCCGTTAAGCTGCTGGATAAATTGAAGCATCATGCCATTTATTGTCCGACGCCACAGTGCATTTCTTGTGGAGAAGCATTCTAACCAAGTGGCTTTGCCGCCCATATTCTCTTCTCTGATAGCAAAATCGAGTTCCTCGACAATCTCAATAACAAGAGGGTCGTCTTCAGGAACTCCGTTGAGGTCTGCAACAACCTTGCGCGCTTCGTCACCTCGTCCAGTTCCGAGAAGGTGTCGCCTAATCAAGGTAAAATTCGTCAGTTTGAATGAGGGATTTTCAGAAGTTACACGTACGGAGATTCTGGAAGGAAAAACATGCCAGACAAAAGTATGATACCCCAGACCATTTGCAATCCAATGGGGATACGCCAAGATGCAGAGTTGTTGATTGTATGGCTTCCGAGTTCAAACAGGTAACTGAAAAAGATGCTAGATTCACAAGCGTTAGTGAGTATTCTGATGGAGGATAAAGACTTCATGAACCCTGAAATAACTTGGACTTGATAGATGACCAAGATTGTACCACGAATAGCTTTCGGTGCCGTTTCCCCGTTGTACAGGGGCACAATAGCTGAATAGACGTAGTTATATTTACAAAGTCATATCCTGACATCAGCACTAACCTGACAATGAACCGACACCTAAACCTGCAATATAACGCCCGATGACCAGCTGAATAAGAGAGTATGTCGTGCCAGTTTGGATAGCCACGCCGACAGTAAAGATAGCCGACCAGAACAGAATGGATCCACGACGTCCAAGCCGATCAGATGTGAACGCTTGAGCGAGGGCTCCACTTGAGGCATCATCAGACTACAATAACAATAACAGGAGATAAATTTCCCACCAGAACGTGCTATGATGAGTATGAATGTCAGCAGAGTAGAATCAGATATCGCGGTCTTACCCAGCCGATAGAAGAGAGACAATAATCGATTGTCTCGAACTTGACAGGATGTACTGGCCATCCGTTCCTTCTTGGCCAAATCGGCGGATGAAGTCTGGCATAATCAGACATCCCTATAGTAGATGAAAAGCTCAGATATGCCGAAGATTGAGGAAGTATGAGTACATACGGAAATGACACCCATGTCATACCCAAACAGGAAGCCTATCACCGAATATTAATTAAATGAATCTACTGACGATGTGAGCAAAGAAATAAGGGCCTTGCAGTTGCCAATAAACGACGTACGTCTTCCAGTCTGTACATGACAACTGCGCACCTCCTGCAAAGAAGAGTTCAATGAGGACAGGATGGTGGCGACGAGAGTGAACTCACCAAACGCGATGAAAATAGCGAGCAAGACCGCTCTACGACTCGTTGGAACATCTCTTGCCATGATCTAGTGGAAGAGACTTCTAAGAGAAGGCAGGTGGAGAAAAGGGGGTCGGAGAAGCCCTCCTACTAAGCTGGCATGCTTAAGTATAAGTTCTGAACAAGCGGGGTGAAATCTATTCATCCATCATGACGCATGACAGAGTCATGCGGGCCGGTGATCAAAAGAGAAGGAATTCTTTGATCTCCAAAGACAAAGGCTTGTTACACTCCCACCCGCACACAAGTGAGGTGAGCAAACCTTTCTGTAGGTAAGGAACAGTCGTAGAGTTTTCTAAGGCCCTCGCTGCACGCACAGGCAACCACTCGGTTGGCCAGCCAGTCTGAGCATTACTCAAAAGCAGATTGGCCTACAATACTGGTGCGAAGTTTGTGCGTCGGTCGGACCTCGGTACGTTTGAAGATTGGCTTTTATCGCTGACTCGACGCGTGACCTGAGAACCTAATGTTACACCCCATGAGCGCGGGAAATATGGTCACTGGGCAAGGTCACTGCTGAACAAGCACACCGGTATGTTAAAGCAGTCAAGGCATAAGTGATCAAAAGAGTGCTAGTCCACACGCCCGTGGGGGAACGACAAGGCGCATGTTCTCGCCTCAGAAATAGGCTTGCTCCTGCAGTACTTGCCCCTGCATTAACCACACTTAGCATCGTTAGCTATCGCTGTTAGTCTAGTGTGTCGCTCCTTTGCCTGAGGAGTGATACGTGCGAGGCGGCTGAGCGTCGGAGCGCCGTGGAGCATTCTCGGCAAGACATTCCGGCAAGATGGACACCACAATGTGCTCCCGTTATGATAGAGTCATATTTCAATATGGTGATATCGTTTGCCGAGCAGAATGATCCACATGACAATGTGGGGTCTTGGTTCGTCGGTTCATGGAATTAAAAACACTCACGACCAGAGAACAAATCAAGATCAAGGGCATCGATCATTTTGCCATCGCATCTCTACATTATATTCCTGTGGAGCCTAGCCAGCTCTCCCACTCTCTAACTATGAAGGATAACTCACGTTCACTTCCTTCGCTTGCATCAGGATCTCCAGCTCCATCAGCGGCAAATTGACGGTCCTTGAGTGAGGCGCTGAAAACACCCTCCACAATAGCACGCTGCAGCCAAGGAACAAGAACTCGGGTATATGCCGCCCCAGCTGCTTGTAGAATCTGTATCTCCTTCGCATCCCCGCCTCGCCAGTCTTTGGCATATTGTAGTAGACCATGGCCTGCATTTGCAAGACATTCTTCTGCACCATCCACGATGCCTGATAAAGCATCAACAGGCGCAAGCATGCGTAACCTGTTTAGCGCACGGATATATGCGTTCAACATTTTCGCAAGTGGCGGGAGGGCAGTTAGCACTTGCGGCGGAGAATGCGAAGCATTGGATGGCGAGAGAACGAACGTCTTGAACGCAGGCACACTATTAGGTGTAGCTACCAGCCAAATGGAAGGAGCAGAGGGCGTAGGTCTGCTCGTGACATGCTTAGCGAGCACCCCAGACCACTCATACTCCACACCAAATCGTACGTCTCGTGCAAACCCGCTGATAACTGATCGTGAAATCAGTGGTGATAGTAGCGCACGAAAATCCTGTATGCGCACCAATTTAATACGAATTAGATTAAAAATGTATGACACTTACCATCCCTACGCGTGCTAGAGCAGAACTACAATAGGCAAGCTGTGTCGCAAGAGGTGCGAGGTGGGGATAAGCACGTTCAAGGTACGATCGGAGAGTCGGAAGGAGCAGCTCCAGAAGTGTCGAAGGCAACGTTTGTCGGATGATATAAGAGGATGCCTCGGCATCCTGATCCGCAGGTGGTGCTATCCGTGCTCCAGCATGCGAACGGTCGAGGAATATCGTTGCATATTGCGTGACAAGATCGTACGCGCCTTCCCTCCAAATATCAATGTACTTCTTTAAGAACCGGGCGACGTCATCAGCCTCCCTATCAATCTCCCGCTCTCTTTCCTCTACAGTGCTTCCAGCTGGGAACTTGAACTCCAGACTTCCAACATTCGAAGGTATGCCAGCATCCCTTTCAATGCCATCCAACGCATCACGAAGGCATCCAATTCGAGCGCTTATGAACACGAGCGCTAGTTCGTCCTCGTGCATCGCCTTCATTCGACGAAGAAATTGTACTGCTTTCCAGAACGCTGGTAGCTTGCGAGCGGGTTCATATAATGTGTTCAGGAGGATGAGCTGCATGGAATGCAGCGAGGAAGCTATCTCAGCTTGTAAGGAATCCGCAAGTTGAAACGGCAAACCCTGCGTAGCTTCTTCGTCATTGCTGAGATTCTTCCTAGTTTGAGCGACTAGAGAGGACAATGCAGATGACGCGTGGGCAGCCAGTGAAAGAGCTTCTGCATAGAGCCCGTTGCGGACGCATGTGTCGATGAGAACCGGAATATCAAGCAAGTCACGCAGTTTGTCGTGCTGCTCCAATACAATGCGTGCCTTCTGCCTTCCCTCGATAACCTCTGGACCAGTCTTCTCGCGAAAAACGCGTGCAGCATCATCGAGAGCTGGTAGAGCGGTGTTGATAAGAGAATTTAGTGACGTGTCGAATGAAGAGAGTGATGTCAGAAGCGCTGTTGACGTGTGGTGAAGGGAGAGAAAGGTCGGATAAGATGTATGTGTCAAAGCAGTGAGTGAAGAAGTCAACGTATGAGATTGCGTCGTGAGCGCAGTTGGCGTTGAGAGCAAGTCTGAGAGCGCATTGGTGGGTAGTTCGGCAAGAAAATCAAGATTGGATGGGCTCGACGCGAGCAGCGAGCCAGAGAAGACGTCTGAAAGGCTCGATAGCTCGCTGAACGTTGAGACCGCCGTGGTCATCGTCGACTGCTACTCACTTAGATAGTTCATCACTCAGTTCCAAAACCAACAAAAATGAAGAGCGCACCTTGCAGGGATCGAAGACTCGAGGCTGCGTGTATGAAGCGCAATAACCGTTTTGCCAAGCAAAATGGGTTTATTTTTGCCGTCTATCACAAAAAGAAGTGAACGACCACGGACATGTGGGACTAACCGTGACCGAGAAGGTCAATAATTATTGCAGTGGTTGAGCGCTCGTCGTGTGCAATAAAGTAATAATTCTGTCATATTGATGTATAAGATGATACGTATTCCAACAGCTACAATAGAGAATATTCATGAACGAATGGCTAAGGTGTGTGATTAGAAGGTGATAATGCAAGAGCCGACATAAAATGGGAGGTGGTGCTACAGTATTGACAAATACATTGGTACTCGTAGGTAATAGGATTCAAGTGTCATGATGGAATCGTAATCGTCAGATTATGCCACAAAAACAGGGCGGACAGCAGGTTGCATACTGTCGAGAGTCTGAGTGCGCGGGTACGTCGGCGGCACAACTGGATCCCCGCGCTATTCGGTCGATTAATGACAATTTACAGCAGGAAAGAAGGCTGTTCACTCACTACCAACAAGCGCATTCTTCGCACGTCCCGCGTTAGACGGAGGTCGACACCGCGGTATGCACACGTCATCTGCAGAGATGCGAGCTGTGGATGACGGTGGCCGTCACGCCAAATGTTAACTGTGACAGCTTGCAGGTCGTCTCGAGTCTTGACGAGATCGATGATAGGATTGAGAAGGGTGTCCAGGTCCAGCCCGAATGCTAGGTGCTGTATAGTCTCTGGCATTTGACGGCAAATGACAGGAGAAGACCATGAACTCTCGGTACGAAGCTCACGAAGAGAGCGGCATCGCATCGCCGCATGTGCGTGCTCATGCATAGCAAAAGATGGAACGGCTAGCGAGTGTAACGTTTCGCCGTGCTTCTCGACGAGGAAGTCCAAAAGCTCGGGACTTGGCTGACGCTCCAAGTCAATGACTCGTAAACTTTTTTCTTCCGCGGAGCGATGCAAGAGCCAGCCAAGAAATTCCTTGGCAGGTTCTCTTTGGCAGTTCAAGCGCAGTTCTTCCAGAGCGCAGGGGAAGGGTGGATACGTCACGTCAGGAGATAGAACGGGAGATGTTCCAGTGATGGAGAGTGATTTTAAAGAAGGCCAAACTTCGAGAAGTTGGAGAACAGACTGATTGTTCTCCGACCAGTTGCTGAAGTTCAGAGCCGTGATGCGCGGGCCAGCACTAAGTAATGCCAGAGAATGCTCGTCAAAAGACGGTGCGGGACGCCGCATGCGTTCCTGGGCGGGACTTCCGACGACATCTTTACCAGGAGCCACGCACCCGTACTGGGCAAGGTCTAGCTCATACAAATTGGGGCAATTAGCCACTGCAACAGTGAGTGACGATTGATCGAGGCAACCAGGCTGGTTATAATCAAGGACCGCGTGCATCTGAATAACGGCGTCACCGAGTATTTGCCCACGCGGGGAACTCCGGTTGACAGCGTGAGTAAACGAGGCAAACGCTGAGTGCGAGCGGAGGCGAACTCGTCGAAACAAAAGTTTTTGAGCATGTAGCGACCATGCTTTGCAAACAAGTGTGCACTTGCTTAAGAGGTCGATGTCAGGACCACCTCTATCGTCGAAGTACGCGGCCTCAAAGATGGTCAGCACCATTTCGATGGGGATGCCGCTAGCGGGCACGTGCGGTGTTCGAATGTTGTCGTAAACTTCCGAGTCATTAGGAGAAGGACTGGTCGTGAATTTGAGTGAAATTTCGTGTTCCACGACCTGCAGATGCTGTCAACGTGCGCCCCGACGACTTGCATCGAATTACTCACCATTGGAGGTCCGGAATATGGTAAGTATCCGCAAAAAGTCATAATATTAGATCACTGATCAAGAGACGCAATGTATAGGCCAAGATTGGCAGAGCTGATCAGCTCTTGTTCAGCTCTAGGAGGCTGAAAATTGAATTCAACGTATTGCGTGGACTCATATTTATATGAAGACGGTGAAATGAAATGACCGCAGCTTAGGCTGACATTGCCGCCGGGGCACAATGACGAGACACGAGCCGTTCCGAACTCTCGTGATGGTGGTAAGTAGATGAGCATTGCCTCCGTTTACACGGTCCACACCTTCCATTTTTAGATCTCAACCAATCGAAACGTTAACGCAGCTTATACGTTTACTGAAACGAGACCCTACAAGTTCTCCGATGGTCTGTACAAATCATCGATTGAGAAGTCTTCCTTCAATTAAGGGGGCATAGTAGGGACATCCAGTTTCCTATGCCTTCAGATGATTCGGATTTATCGATGTTCCACTGCCATTGAATTACATCCCACGACACACGGTGTGCATCACCATGACTCATTTTCATTGTCCTGACATTCTGTCATGAACCTTCTTCCACTGCTAGGGGCAACCCACCGTCGGTTGTTGCCGGGCGGACAGCCCTCAAGTTCTGGCGCTCAGACAAAGCAATCTGTTCCAGCCTCCAGCCAATCACAATCGATAGACTAAATCTCTCACAGCCCCGCTCAATGCCCGTGTACCAATCAATCGCAGACGGTCACATTGCTTCAAATCGAGTCGGAGGCGAAACGATGTTCTACTAAAAAGCTTCTGGATTCTGCCTCAGCGAGCCGGAGGCGAAATGGTATTTACTCGGAAAATTTTAGACTTCCCCCTGATTTACCAAGGTACACGCGAGTTTACACAGGTTTGCACACGACGTTCGTGTTCTCACAAGTAATAAACTGTAATGAAGGCTCATGAAAGGCCGCGGTTACACCCGCTCATTGGAGGTAGTTGGGGAACGTTCATTGGTAGCCTGTCGGTACTTACGTTCTTGCCTGGGCTGAGATCGTGATTTCAGCAAGAGGCCGCGCGTTGATGAGGTCATCTCACTTGATCAGAACGGAGAGATGAGAACGGAGGGACCGTGCCACATGCAACAGCTTTCAAAGAGATTACAGATACTGGGGGGCTGATCGTGATACAGCTTGAACTGATAGCAATTGGTCTCCTTCCACCGGTTGGTCCCAGTGTGCATTGGCCGCTGTAACGTTATTGACGTCAGCGATCCGGGGACGTACACTGAGTCTGGGGCATATCGTCGCTTGCTCATGACACCTTGAGATATTATAACATGGCCGTGACCTTCCATTACTGAGTATGAACCTTGCTATTGTATCGGATCCAGGACCGATAAACAAAAAGGCCTTGAAGTTGGAACTATCGTAGAACTCTATACCTTGACAAATCGATCCGCGGAGCTCCCCTAAGCATGATATGCGCCGTCTACGGAGAAACGATCGCGCGAGACTTGCACGAGACCATTCATTCAAAAACCTTCTCGTACTTGGTACCAAGTCTTTTGTTTTCAAGCGAGTCAAGTAATCAGGGTCAACTTAGCAGATCAGGCGGTATGTGATCGAGCCGACGCCTGCGGAGAGTTTGATTTTGGAAGGGACAAATCTCGAAATATTTTATATATCGTCATACTTGGGTCAATTGAAATTCGCTCGCCTGTGAAGATGCATTCGAGAACGAGTTATGATCCGCACCTAGGTAGCCATCAAGGAGGCTGCCGCCGACGGGCCGGGAGCCACAATGAGACAAACAATGTCAAACATAGCTGTGGGATTCAGATAACCGAGCTCTGAAGACTCCGGACGTCGTTAAACATGTCCAAGTCGTCGCTATCCTCCGTCGTTTCAAACCTCGTCCGGGCGTCCATGGGGACAACCGTTTCTCCATCCATCACTGATGACGACCTCGACAGACATGTTGCAGAGCTCATCTTGAGGGAAGCCAAACAGAAGGCCGAAAGCTACGGCGAAGTTGGAATTAGGGCATACCTTCCAACTGCGTGAGTCTACCATCTAAAAAAATCAACCCATCAACTTACCAAAGATTTGTTTAGGCCTGACCCAAATGCCCCTCGTCCGAACAAGCGTTTCCTTAGTTCGATAATCAAGAGCACAGATGATCACAACAAGACTATACTTCGCGCACAGGCGCTTGCTGCACAGGAAATTAAAAGGGAGAAAGATGAGCGAGAGCGTAGAGATAGGAAGGCTCGTGCGGAAGAGGCTGCCGCTGCCGAGCGCATGAGAAGAAGGAGACCTGACCATGACGAACATAGTTGGGATAGTCGAAGGGAACGTGACCGACGGAGAGATAAAGACCAGGACAAGGGGAAAGGAAAGAGTTCTGGGAGGTATCACAAGGATGATAAAGATGATGACAGTTACTACAGAAACAGGCCCACCAGCAGGAGACATCAATCACGTTCAGCATCAAAGGAACGGGATATTGATGTGAAGCACAGGAAAAGCAGCCGGCGATCACTATCTCCCGAGAGAGCTAGTTCTTCTGATAACCGTCAACATAGAAGACATAGACGACACGGTGATGACAATTCTCGAAAGAAAAGACGCCATACGAGTCGTTCTACTTCCCCACGTCGCACCAAGTCACCAGCACAGCCTGTTCCAGAAATCCCAGTTTCCAGGAAAAGGACGCGATCAGTATCTCCATCTAATGATGATCATAGAAAGACGACCAAGCAGGCACGGCATTTGAATCGTCGTAACACTCGGTCTCCTTCCCGGTCATCCCAGACATCCCCAGACGATGAAGCTGTAGAGTTCACAGAGGAGATTCTACCTTCTTTCAAGGGCAAAGCAGGGGCTCCCGACGAACTTCGCAAACCGCCTACTCGTACCCTTTCACCTTCCCCTCCACCACGCCGACCCCAACGCGCAGTCGCTTCGTCAGGTTGTCGGTCACCGTCTTTGTCACCCCCTCCTTTACCGCCCGCGTCGCTTCCCTCGAAGATGGACAAATACTTTCAAGACTCTTATGACCCCCGACTTGACGTCGCCACATTCCCTGTCCCCAACGTACCTGCTACTGGCTTGGTCAGTGATGCAGAGTTCGAGGGTTGGGACGCCATGCTTGAACTCATTCGACAACGACGAGAGGATAAAGCCGAGAAGAAACGTCTTGAACGTCTCGGAATATCAAAAGACAAGGTCAACAAGAAAGGCTCAGACGGTGGGGTTGCTGATCGTTGGGCTAGTGGAGGGGATAATATCATGGACATCGAGTACAAGAAAAGGGGGACTGTTCGAGAATGGGACTTGGGGAAAGAGGGTTTTTAAGAGCTGCTTGTCAGCAATACTAATTTGCATCTATTAAACAGGACATCATCATCACATAACGCTCTTGCTTTCATGTACAATATGTTTTCGTAGTAGGAAACCAACTGACCAAACTCAGTGATCAATAGCGTGGCGCACAACCATGATCTCCTCAGCCGACAATTGGTCGATGTTTGCGGAAAAGTTGTTAACGTTGTGCGATGCACATTCTCTAAAGAATGACACCAGATGCGCCTGAAAGACGTATCAAGCACGTACGAGTTGCCGTTAAACCAGCGAGACCTACCTGCATGTCAATCTGAGAGATGGCATCGTTTCTGAGGTCTTCATCATCCATCTCTTCGAGAATGTCGTCATTGTCAAAGTTGACCCCTCGGGGACCCAGCATCTCGGAGAGGAAAGCAAATTCTTCTTGCTTGAAGCCCTGATTCTGTTGCTCTTCTTCTGTCCACTCTTCATCCTGTCGATCGCTTAGTAGGATGTATAAAGGAGTATACAAACGGTACATACGCCATCGTCCGAGTCCACATCAAACTCAGCTTTTGGGATCGTCGCAGAGTCGCCCCCAGCTCTAAGATCGTGTACAAGCAGTTTAAGTGCCTTCACAGGGAAAGGCACTGACGTAAACTCATGGGGTGCTGCGCCGCCAAAGTCAGTATCAAACCCAGCAAAGAGAATGAGAAATAGGCAAATGATGCATACTCGTCTTCGTTCGCGACCGAGTCATGATCACTATCCCGGAAGCACAAGCAGAAACCGTTGAATATCCAGAAATGAGCGATTCTATATGCAGAAAGAAGACTCACCATTCTTCGTCTCCGGCTTCAAGATAATATCGCCCTTGACCATCAATGATTGCAGGCTTGAACGACCAGAGGCGTATAATTTTGTGAGCGCCAATGTGCTAACACGCGATTGCCAAAAGCCCTGGAACGTTTCTGCATTCTCACACCACGTCTGGATGAGGATATCGAGACTGTTCCTGCCATTCGTCGTAGTCGATTCCAGCAAGTACAATACTGTGTCCTGCTGGTTATATGCGAGGAACGCGAATGGAACGACGAGGCTCTGGATGAAAGTAGCGGTCTTGGCCGATAGCATCCGCAATACCATAGCTTGAAGAAGTTCCGGAAGTACTGGGAGAACAGCTTCGCCTGCACGACGCAGCAAGTGAATGATGAGATCACCAATGACCAAACCACCGGATTCATCGTCGTTTTGCAGGAGCTTCGCAATAACTTTCAGAATATGATCGAGACCGGATTGGCCGGATGGGTCCCGCCATTCTAGGATCTGCCTGCAATCTTTGCGGACTATCAAAGCAAGACACGCCATGCCGTTTTGAAGAACATCACGGTCCTCGGCTTCGCTAAGGCAGCTGAACAAGCTAGGTGCTAGGAGAGCGAAGAAGCCGTCTCCAAGGCCGCCTTCGGGTGCACCGCGAACGAGGCTTGAGATCAAGTCAATGGCAGACCCTGCTATCCAGGCTTCTTGAGGTTTGGAACCCGCGATCGCAGTACAAAGAGTGGGTAGTGCCTGTTTGACAACCGTTTCGTACACTCCTGTGCCAGTCGAGGAGGCCAGCGAGGTGAAGATTTCGGTGAAGATTGATAGGAAAATGGGGTCTATGATCTCCATTTAGTTGTTGACGGGTGGAAGGGAGGTATAAGTTACCTTTGTTGTTCTTTGCCCAGACCTCCAAGACGGCCAACACGAGAGAGTTGGACAAGTCAGTGGTGAGCCATTGACCCCTGTTGACATCTAGAACAACCGACATTGTCTCGAGAACTAAGGATAACGTGTCCTCAGTCGTTACCAGCAAGAATGGTCCCAGATCCTGTGCAATCCGCGACACGAAGGGCGTGATAGCCGAGTCCTCCGCGCCTTCACAAAAGCTGCCGGGGTATTAGATGGGCGTGTTATTCGAAGTACACAACATACTTGTGGATAGCTTTGACAGCAGAAATTTTTACGGGAATCCCAGCAGAATTTGATTCAATGACATGCATAGCGGCTTCCAGATACTGACCAGCCATCTGTAACGGCAATAGCCTGACAAACTGGCTCGCAAATACGAAACCCCTGCCTTGCAAGAATGGAAAGTCTGAAGAAATATCAAATGACATGAACCCCACATAAAGATGCCTGATGCATACCGGACTGGTTTAAGACCGACGGAACGACATTGGCAAGCAAATCCTCCACATCAATAGGTTTTGCTCGGCCAGAATCCTGTTCATTTTCAATGCACTCGAGGACATCTTCGGATTGAGAGCCAATCGCGGCGAAGGATGCTTCAAGTGGTTTCCACCTGCGCTCAACCAATTCATGAAGAGGTTGAACGGAATCGATTTTCGGTTACCTACCAAGCAGTTGACCCATTTTCTCGTGCTCTCTGTGATGTTGCAATGACCTGATGAATCGCAGTCTGGAAGGTAGCACAAATTTGTGCAGGAGAACGGTTGAGAATAGTCTGTGGAGGACATGAGTCTTCTTTTGGAATACATCTAGCCCACAACACACATATAGCAACTCGAAGCCAGCGACTCGGACGCCATATGCCTGTGTGTCATCCTCTTCATGTGCCACGAAAGCATTGGCATTTGTTGCCCACGTCTCTTCCTGCGGTCAATCACTAAACATCCAAAGGCAAAGATGTGGATGGGACGAACGTCATCCGCAGTCATCTGTGAATAATTGAAGATCGCGGAGACCAAACTGTTCAGGTTCTCCACCTGAAGCCACTCCTTCGCTTTCCCCCCTCTGACAACATTTGAAACAAAGTCGAACAAAGGGCAGATGAGGTGGGGTATTTCTACTGTTTCCTCCTCTGATGACCCAGGGGCACTTCCGGATCCCGAGATGTAGAACGTATCATATGCTTCGGACATCACCTGAAGGTGACGCAAGGATGCATCTAGATAACCACGAACGTACGAGGTCATGGCACGGGGAAATGACGTGTGAATGACGTCCAGTGTCTGAGATTGCATGTATCAGGAAGCCCGTCGGAACGTGTAGTTAATCAAATACCTTGAAGACCTGGATCCTGACAGCTAATCCATCCCAGTTGTCCTGATTGGACACATCCTTCAAAGGGTCAAGGTTAAGAAGCACTTTGAATGCCTCCAACCAAACTGGCAAGATGGTTGCAGTAGCTTCCTTCACTGCTTGGGGATGTTGATCTTTGACCATGTAGAGTGCTGTCACGCATTGACGAAAAACGGATACAGTTCGTGCGCGAGTGAGAGGTGTGTGTTGCTATTGTCGCAATTTAGGTCGCAAATCAAATTTCAGAACAGAAGCTGGACCGCACCTCCGTAGATCCAAGAATAGTGAGCAAGACGGGAAGAAGCTGTCGCAATACAGGTAAAATTTGATCTTCGGTGAGATCCGATTTTATAAATTCAGTGAACACCTGCATTGCGCCATGCACAGCATCAGAAGAACTTGAAGAAATCAAGGTAATAAGGGAGTTGAGTAGTTCTGGGTATTCATCTGGCCAATCGCAGTTCCCAATATATGACATTGTATGAGCCTTCGCATAAATATTGAGATCTAAGTGTGCCAATGCGCTCAAGTTGGATTGGGACTCACGCATAAAGACCGGATTTTCCGGTTCGAGTCTGATAAGCCTTGAAGGACAGCGTGGCGTATTCGAGATTTGACCTGTGGAAGATCAATATGATGGACCCGGATAACGTCGAGGAGCATACCTCTACTGAAGGTGCGTTGCCCTTGAACGATTCAAAGTATGGAGACCATCGTTCCTTGACATACTTTCTGAGGATGATGCTTGCTGAGTGCTAGGTAACATCCGAGATAAAGAGGCGAACATTGCTGCAAGACGAGAAAGAACTTATCTGCCGGAGCGAGATATCCACGTCTTGTGCTAAAATAAGCTGGGCGAGAGCTAGACCTGCCTCTGATAAACGCGTGCTAAATATCAGATTTGCAGTCAATGGTCACGATTATGAAAACCAGCCTTGATGGAGCAGAACCTCGGAAAGCTTGAGTTCAGCAGCGATCCTAGTATTTGCGTCTGCGCTTAGAGTGTCTGCCAATATCTGAGAGACATTTGCCGCCGCCATCATCAGCGATGATGATATACCCAGAACAAAGCAGGAATGATAATATGTTAGGGTGCACTTCACGTGCAGACGCGACGCGTTTGAAGAGCGGAAATTGCCGTTTCTTAGAAAACTCAGTGAATTCAGCCCAAGACGATGGAAATTGGGTTCCGACCGAATCCTACCGTCTCTTGTTTCTTGTTCCTTTCCACCGTCATCACAGTAACTTTTCCGTTCTAATTCTTGTGATTGGCAGCATACTAGTAATTCGACGACAATGCGGCCACGAGACTCGGTTGCACAAGCGCCCGTCGATAACGGCAAGAAGCCCCGCAGACCCCCCAAAAAGCGTGCGCGTGCGTCTGACGTCGACCGACATCAGCAAAACGTCGAAGTCGTCAAATCCGGTGCAAGGAGAGCTAAATGGCAGCCCAGGCCGGGAAAACTTGCCGCCCTGATGAATTTACCTCTGGACGTCTTATTCGAGGTTTGCCCCTTTTGCTATGGTCGCTATGTATCTAGTGTCTAAAAATGCTTCAGGTTTTTGGCCACTTGAATCCTTTGGATATACTTCGTCTGGCTCGCACGACGAAAGAATTTAGACGCGTGCTCATGCATCGTTCTTCAATGTCCGTATGGAAGAATGCTAGAGACAACGTGCCAAACATGCCAGATTGCCCCCCTTTCTGGACGGAACCCCACTATGCGAACCTTGCTTTTGATCCGCATTGTCATGTATGCCCCCCATTTAAATCACAATATGCTTTTTTCTTACATTTAGGAAAAGGAATGCGGTGCCCCTGGTGTGCGCAACGTCGACTGGCGCATCGGTAGGCGTATCTGCACAAAGTGCTCCAAGACTTGGTGCGTGTATTGTTTTAAGCGCACAACTTTGCTCTTATCAAGTCAACAGCATGGTAGATGCCTACCACGGTGCGTCCGTAATCAGTGGCCTTGTCCCGAGTAAATATGGCAGTCTGTATCATTTATCCGTTATCTAATGTATAATATTGAGTTGATATCTACAGAACGAGGCCGCCTTCTATTCTATCGCAAAGATGTCGAAGAGGTGCAGAATAATTTGCATGTACTCGCAGGTTCAGACGGGCTTGAAGCCTATCGTGAGGAGCGGAGGGCATTCGTCAAGGAAATGGAAACAGTGAGTAATCTTTTCCCTGTGATATCAGCACCGTAAACATATCTATCCAGCAAGCGAAAGTGTTGGAAGCATGGGCAGCTTCTCAAGCTAAAGACCGATCCGATCAGCTGGAGGATGCTAGACGGGATAGGAAAACTGCGTAAGATATCAAGCTCGTAATTGCCCCAACGCCTAGTCTGACATTTTCCAGTATCATCGAAAGGCTTACTGAAATTGGTTGGGGTGATGAAATCGAACATATTCCATACACAGACGACTTGAGCCACCACAGGTTAGTCAAGCAACCCACCCGCCTAACGGATCGCAGTTGGTTCCTTCCTTTGATGTTTCCGATCCAAATTCTTACCAGTTGTTCAGTCTGGAATAACATCAAGAACGACATGATCAAGTACATGGAGGAGATGAGAACACGACGTCTCGAGCGCGAGCGCAAAGCCCTGCTTATTGCACGAAAGCGCACCGCCATTGGCGTTCTGCGTAGCTATAAGGTCACTCACCTCCCATTTACCGATGTTATGCCTGAGGCAGTGGACTTCTGCTCTTTCCCCGAAGTCAACGAAATTGTTGAATCGCCCACGGAGACAGAAGTTACGGAAACGTCCTTTGCGGACGTTGCTTCCCGGATGGATGACTTGGTGCATTCCTGGCGCACTCGCATCCACTCCCAGCTCAGGGCTAGAGTCAAAGATAATCTGCTTTTTAGCGGAAGGCGGCGTGCGCGTGCGGAGCGAGTGACGCCGGATCCATTATACGAAGAGTATGTGGAAAGCCTTGGTGCCACCTTTGACGCCAAAGGCAAGACAAAGGAGGTATCGCTACCAGTGCCTGATGACGCTGAGATCGATCAGATAATCCCGTTAGCGATAACTGTATTTCGCTGCAAAACATGCACTCCATCCATTGGACTCCCAGGCGATTTGTCCGATACTGAATATGACGATTTCCTTGATATTCTTGGCGGACGTCAGAACAGATCCATTCCCCTCTTCTATCCCAAAGTCATGGGGCATAGTTGCCTTACCAGGTCGAGAACGCTCCCTTGGGACTACTCTGCCATGGACGACCCCAACTTTCGAATTGATTTTCCAATGAGCACCCGTACAAAGTGGAACACCCACCTTTTGCAGGTGGATGAAGAGGCAAGCAAGGCTGCTCGTACCGTTGTGGAGGCATGCGGTGAAGACCCGCTCATCACCACTGCGACCAAAATGGATGAGTTAGATCCCCGCTTGGTCTGCCTGGACTGCGTGAAGTGGTCCAAGCATGAGGTAAATCAAGGCGAGGTACCCGTCTTCGCTTGGCGTTCAGCGGTCCGTGCCTTACCATTCGATGCTTTTGATTTCACGGCTTCTAACTTGTTTGTAGGTTCAGCACAGAATGCGAGAGCATCGCCCTGACCGTCAGCCAGTCAAATGGAAGAAACTCGAGGGTGAGTTACTCGAGGAGTCCAACCGAAATGCTCGCGAGATGCACAAATTTACACAAATTTTCGATTTCCAACCTTTCCGGATATCAACCAACCTGCAAGCATCGTCTGGTTGTGTGTTCACTGCATGGATTTACCGCAGGAGAGGGAATGCTATGAACTTGGAAAAATGAAGAGTCACCTTTCTACAATGCACGTTCTCTTTCCATTGCACTGAAGATAGTGTTGCTTACTTATTCGTAACATTAGTCATGGCATTGAAGAGCCTGCGGAAAATGAAGATTATTACAAGGAATATGAAGCGCCGCAGGGTCGCAGATCAGTCTTCAAACCTTCTGATTCCACAGTCACTTTGCAAATGGAGAGGCCGCCTCATGTTCCTCTACCTGGGCACGGTTTCTTGTTCTATGATGAGGATGATGAGGATGATGATGAGGATTATGGGGACTACGATGAAGATGACTTTTATTTTGGTAACTCGTTCTTCCCTCTGTTCTGATTAGAACAATAACATTCATTCATAATTGTTGCTCCTCCAAATACATACTTAGTCCGAGTCTTAATGTTACTGGACACATTTCTTGATGCAACGAATCTTCACCCATACTTCCTCTTCTAGACAGTTTTCATACAGACGAACGAATTTTAACGATCAATGATATTCAAGCAAGAGTGACTCGCTCTCCAGAATATATTGGAGCTGGATAAGGCTGTAGATGATGATTAAACTACCAGCTCTCCTTCGACGCTTGCAGCATCGAGCCCAAGTCGAGGAAGAATAGCTTCATATCGGTCACGGTCAAGTCTCCTCAGATATTTAAGTATCTTGGCCCGTTTGTGCACAAGCTGACGAAGGCCCCTGCGGTTATCTATGTCCTTGCGGAAAGCCAAAAGGTGCTTCCATAGCCCACGTATTTGGATCGTCAGCAAGGCGGCTACATCCAGAAGACTTCAGTACAAGTCGGCGTTGAGAAAATTCCATGGTAAGCACCTTGTATCTCAGGGCGACCAGTGTCAAATGGATTTCCTGGTGGAGAAAACAGCCTGATGCAACGGCGGCGGTTCTCGAATGCGAGACCTTTCGCATTTGCATTACGCAAATCAATAACCTTTGCGAACATGTTCGCTTTGGCCTTTTCGTTTTCCATCGCTTCCTGCATTTCGCTAACCACATTCTCGCTGAACTTGGTCACGCCCTCCTGAGCTGACAGCGGAGGTAACACTTTGAAAAGCAGCTCCTTGGACCTCTCAGTAATTCCAAAGCTTAGATGCGGCGGGAGCTCGATGTCGCCTTCGGGACTGTGAATGATCTCAGGGACAGAATCCGAGTATAGCGCGTCTTCCGTGACGATAACTTTCGCAAGGGCACAGCTCCGCCATTTGTGATCCTGACCTGGACGATGTCCGAGAACAGCATATTCGCGCTGCGCATCGAATGCGAGCTTGTGATTTATGCGTGCTTGCACTTTGGAGATCTTCTCATGTCGAGCTTGTTTGCTCGACAAGCGGGCATTGAGAACTGCTGAAGTATGGAGTGATGGACGACTGGACGATGCGACGGATTGTGATACTACACTCCATCAGAAATAGTTAGAACTATCATGGGACTGAACACACCGTTGATTAGGCAGGATTTGAACATAGCAAACCCAACGCGCCCCGTCCAAAAACTTAAAGTTGGCAAGGAAGAATGATAAGCCGTGGGAAATTTTGTGTACATTTCTCCAAGGTCAAGTCTTCGAGCGTCACACCGTATAGCACACGATGGCGCCCATAAAAAAGACCAAGGCTTCACCCAAGGTCCGCTCTTCTGGATCCAAGGAACCATCACTCAAAAAAGTGAAAGGCGAGAACTTTTACCGCAATGCGAAACAAGTTGGCCGTCTCAAGATGCTGTCTGGGGGAAAGGCCGTCCGGGACAAGGATGGCAAAATAATCCAAGCTGCTGCTTTTCAGAAAGGAGAAGATGAGACCAAGCCCGGCCGAGTCCAGCCCGATCGTAGATGGTTTGGTGAGCTGCGTCGAGATATGCGTAGGCCATTACTCATGAAAATAATAGGCAATACACGAGTAATCTCACAGACAGCCCTTGACCATTTCAGAACAAGTCTTTCGACGAAGAAGGATGACCCATACTCAGTGCTACTTCGCCGGAATAAATTACCTATGGCACTTTTAGACGATGCGTCTAATCCTAACACTCGAAAGGTAGGCTCTAGCACATTTTATATTGCTTGTGGGCTGATATTATGTAGCGATCCCACATCGTAGAAACGGAACCTTTCAGTGAAACCTTTGGACCAAAGGCTCAGCGCAAGAAGGCCAGGATTGACGTAGGCACTTTCGAGGAACTGAGTAAACTAGGCACAGCTGCGGTGGAAGACGCAGAACAAGCGGCCAATGCTCTAGAATTAGGTGCACCATCGCATGGTAATTCTCTCCAATCAAACATGTTCTGATGTTTTGGTAGCACAATCTTTTGAAGCCCCTGAACTGCAAACCCACGCAGACTATATTGAACCCATTTTCGCCAAAGGAACGTCAAGACGCATCTATGGGGAACTGTACAAGGTTATCGACTCTTCGGACGTTATCCTGCACATCCTCGATGCTCGAGACCCCCTTGGCACCATGTGCGAATCTGTGCTCGAGTACATGAAAAAAGAGAAAGCGCACAAACAAGTGGTCCTTGTCATCAACAAGTGCGACTTAGTACCCAATTGGGTTACCGTAAGCCCCTAGTGACTTTGTGCACGTCCCCCTGCTGAATGTGCCACAGGCAAGGTATATTCAGCATCTAACACCTCGATACCCTACAATTGCCTTTCACGCATCACCGAATCACTCGTTCGGCAAAGGCTCTTTGATTCAACTCCTTCGCCAATTCTCCCAGCTTCATTCAGATAAGAAGCAAATTTCCGTTGGATTTGTTGGATACCCAAACGTGGGCAAGAGCAGCGTTATCAATACGCTGAAGAGCGGTAAGGTCTGCCGCGTTGCCCCTGTACCAGGAGAAACCAAGGTACGCGCCAAGAATGACTGTTAAACTGCCTAACCAAACATGTTTCACTCTGAGCTTAGGTTTGGCAGTATATCACATTGACCCGGCGGATATATCTTATCGACTGTCCTGGGGTAGTCCCCACGTCCGCAAATGATTCTCAGACATCCACTGTGCTGAAAGGTGTTCTACGTGTGGAAGCCCTTCCCGTGCCATCTGAGCACATCCCCGTCCTCATGTCACGCGTAAAGCCTTTGTACCTCTCACGAACATATGGTGTTGCTCTTCCGGACCCCGACGATCCCTCTCGCTCGTGGGATCCGGAACAGTTCTTGGACACTCTTGCACGGATGAAGGGACGACTATTAAAAGGCGGCGAGCCAGATGTAGATGGCGTCGCTAAAATCATAGCTGAGCGACTGGGTAAGAGGCCGAATACCATTTTTCGTGCCTCCCCCTGAGCGATCGGAGGAGCTTAACAAAACCGAAGCCAAACTGAAGGCGAGAAGCAAGGGCAAAGCGAAGGCTGTTGACGGCGGGAACGAGGTTCTGGCAGTTAAGCAGAATTTGAAGACCATCACACAAAAAAATTCGTTCCTTGCCGAGGATGTGCAACCGTTGGATGAAGATGATGGCGAGGATGACGAGATTTCTAGTGCCCCAGAAGATCATGCATTAAGCGAGGAGGATAAAGGTAACGAACTCGGTAGCGACGAAGACAACGAAGATGAGGTCGAAGAATTGTCTTGGAACGATGTCTTCAACGATAGGAAGGAGCCGGCCGGTGAAGCTGTTGAAGATGAATTATCTTCGGCCGAACAAGGTATGGTGTCATTTTGTTTGCGCTCTCTGTAGACTGATCACGTCTCCAGGTGACGCACCCGATGTAGAGGTCACTGCCCTGACAAAGAGACCACGCATGAAGACGAACAAGGTATGGCATTTTTTCATTGCTGTGCGTTTCCTGCGCTAACCAAGTACGTAGAAAAAAGCGGAGAATTTCTACACTAACACCAACGTGAAGAACAAAAATCGAAACAAGGCGGCTGTGATGAAGTCTCTTCCTGTGGGCAAGAAGGGTGAAGGACGTAAACGGCGCTGATACTTGACTAGATTCTATGTTGCTGTGCAGAGGAAATGTTGTGCTGTCATCACTGTTCGCCTATTTTGAGCAATGAATCAGTCGGACTCACGCAGCGAAGCTAAAACAAAGACTGACCTTCCTCCGCGCTTTCTCCGACTCGCTACGCCTATCACCAACGTTCGTAGCATTGACAAGCACACTTATGGTCTAAAGAGACGCTAGCTCTAACGTATAAGCCGGAGCCGTCAAAATGATGGTACGAGGACTGCGTGGGAAAGCACAGAAGCTGATTATCTATAAACCTTCGATTGAGATTTCACCGAACCACCCCATCTTGACTTTTGTCCTCCATGTCTGTTACCAAAGTCCACGCTCGCCAGGTAAGTCAGTCATATCTCCATTGCAAACTTGAGTCGAATGCTTGCAGATCTTCGACTCTCGTGGCAACCCCACCGTTGAGGTCGACCTTTACACAGATAAAGGTACGAGACCGAACGCGATCAAAGATCTTTCCACTCTTACACGTATTTCTTAGGTCGTTTCCGTGCTGCTGTCCCCTCTGGTGCGTCGACCGGTGTCCACGAAGCCGTCGAGCTTCGCGATGGCGACAAAGCCAACTACGTGGGAAAGGGTATATATCCTGCTTCATGAGTCTCAGTCATGTCCACTGAACATCATCCAGGTGTCTCCAAGGCCGTTAATAACGTGAACACTGTTCTTGGCCCAGAGCTGATCAAGTCTGGCCTTAAGGTCACTCAGCAGACGGAGATCGACGACCTCCTGATCAAGCTCGATGGCACTCCTAACAAGGGCAAGCTTGGTGCCAACGCTATTCTTGGCGTTTCTATCGCCTGCGTAGAGGCTGGTGCTGCCGAGAAAGGTGTTCCTGTATACCAGCATCTCGCTGAGTTGGCTGGTGTCAAGCCCCCCTATATCATGCCTTGTCCTGCGTTCAACGTCATCAATGGTGGTTCACACGCAGGCAATAAGCTGGCATTCCAGGAGTTCATGCTCCTTCCTACCGGTGCTACCTCGTTCACTGAAGCGATGAAAATCGGTACCGAGACCTACCACACGCTGAAGAAGGTCATCAGCGCAAAATACGGCATTGATGGTATGTAATGCATGCACTGTTATCCGACTTTTGGCTGAATTATGTGCTCCAGCCGTCAACGTTGGTGATGAAGGTGGATTTGCCCCCAATGTCTCGGGAGCTGACGAGTCTCTGGAGCTTCTCACGGAGGCTATCAGCAAGGCCGGATACGAAGGCAAGATCAAGATTGCTCTTGATGTTGCTTCATCCGAGTTCTACAAGGACGGCAAATATGACCTTGACTTCAAGAACCCCAACTCCGACCCTCAGAAGTGGATCTCAGGCACTGAGCTCGCAGACCTCTACCTTAGCTACGTCAAGAAGTACCCCATTGTCTCCATCGAAGATCCTTTCGACCAAGACGATTGGGAGGCATGGACCCACTTCACCAAGAACAGCTCAGTCCAGATTGTCGGTGATGACTTGACTGTTACCAACCCTCTTCGCATCAAGACGGCCATTGAGAAGAAGGCATGCAATGGTCTCCTCTTGAAGGTTGGTGTTCATCATTTTTCAGGCAGTCATGTTGTTTGACTCACTTGCACTTTTAGATCAACCAGATTGGTACCATCTCGGAATCCATCCAGGCGTACGTGACTGCTACCATGAGTGTGTGTATGGACCTCGGTTGACGATATTTCAGTGCACAACTTGCTCAGTCTGATGGCTGGGGAGTTATGGTGTCACACCGCTCTGGTGAGACAGAGAACACCATCATTGCTGACTTGGTCGTTGCCCTTGGAACCGGTCAGATCAAGACAGGTGCGCCCGCTCGTAGCGAGCGTGTCGCAAAATACAATGCATTGCTGCGCATTGAGTGAGTTACTGTTTTGCACCGAAGGAAAACTTTGTTGATCATTTGTTAGGGGGGAGATCAAAGACGGAGTCTATGCTGGTGACAAAGGTCTTTCTGCTGGTTTGACAGCCCCTGCTCTGCTCAAAAAGTAGATCGAGAGATGCATGGAGTGACGAGAAGCTCAACTGTACGATTCATTATTTAGGTAATTTCCATGCTGACAAGTGTACATTCATGACGATAACCCAGTCATTTTCAAATGCCTGAATGCACGTTCTATATAACTACGTTGCGATACGCTGAGATGAAAGTACCGTAGATATAGTGTTCTTGTCGTCGATTTCTATAATCGATCAGATTACGATTATGGGGATTGAGGACAAGAATACTATTTCCCAGACGCCCAGGGCACCCATCTCCGGCACTCCAATGAAGGTATCGATATGGTCTACCTAGTTCCTGCATCATTCGTTTTATTCCAACAAGCTTGGTAACAGAGACGAGGGGCACGCGCATGAAAGGAACATGTCTTCATCCAGACCTTCGATAAAGGAATAGAGCAGCTTAGGCTGCCATAAACCATAAATAATATCAGCCTGAAGTAGGTTGGGGAATAGCCATTCGTGAGCAAAGTCGAAAAGAAACTATTTGATTATCTCTCGATGGCTCAAGAAGCTAGTCCCGAAACTCGATCTTGACGAAGTTGAGGTAGGCCTTGCCATACTTGAATTTCGAACGATTATAAATATTCAAAGTGATGCTGGAGTGACTTCATGAACCTGGACCCAGTCCTTGCTCCAGAAGATCAAGGACAACATTAGGATTTACTTTACGCATTGAAGAACTTCAGTAGCAGGATTTCCAAAACGGAGGGAACCTACACTCTTTGCATATCCCTTCCTCCAATCGATCCCTTGTATGAACGGAACTTGGCAACGGGCCGGACAGCTGGGCGTCATCGATCATCCATGTCTTCAAAGTGACACACAGAAGACAAATGCACGGTCATTACAGATTGTTGGTTCGCTCTGTAAACGAACATAATGATAGCCAGGTGCATTAAAGGTATGTTTACATTCCAAGGAAGCACACACAGCATCTGGATGCGGACACTGGGATAAAGCTAGCCGAAACTCCACCAAAAAGACAGGGTGATCTTGTTCGGCATCGATCACAATGTCACGATTAGGCGAAGAGGGTAAAACCATAAGATCCTGCAGAGGTTCGAGGATAAACAAACTCGGCAGCCGGTCTTGAAGAAACAGACCGTATGCGGGCCACGTCTGGGAGAGTTTGGAAACCATGTTACGATCACGAATGGGGATATTGTCCTATCAAAGCATCCACCAAATCCCATTGTTTCGGTGGTGTGTATGGAATTTTGAAGGGCGTGTAAGTAGAAGCAACTACTGTTTTGAAACCTGTTTTCGCATGGAAGTCAGACCGCGCGCCACAAAGGAGCCAATCTCTTGAGTGAACATCTTCTGAAAACCCCCTATCATGGGTGGCGGTCTCTGAGTCAGTGAAGCCCCGAGCGTGAATGTCGACAGAATAGTTACAGCTGGTTACATCCCAAAGTGTTTTACAGGACTGGCAAAAACAACTAGTTAGTCCAGGAGGAAACGTGGAACCACAGGAAAAGACTTTCCACGTGAACTCAGCTGTAGGAAGCGATTTGCAAGGAGCCCCAATGATTTGTCACGTAACAATATTTAATTAATGTTTACGATCGGAGTTTCCTATTTCGTGTTATCTTGCTGCAGTAACCTTAGCTTGGTAAAGCTGTGAGCTAATCCCTGGTACTTATCGTCCACTTCAAACCAGTACTTGGCCGTGGTGCTGTGACCCTCAAAGGCAATGCTTCCATCGTCCCCGCCACCGTGGGACATTGCTCCCATCTATCTATATAAGTGAAACACTGTTCTTCAAGCTTCAACCATTCATGTCTACCATATCCTCCGAGAAATCCCCCCAGCATTCGCATGAGACGATGAACGATCGTTTCACTGGACTCGGTGCAAAGGATCAGCGCGCATACGAGCGCGCTAGGCACCAGACAAAGGAGCGGCGGGAGCACGCACAGGTGAAGGAGCGCAAAGAGAGGGCGGCGGCGGGGGTACGAGCACCAGCGTTCAAGGAAGGGCACTTAAGCCGAGCTGCCAGGAGGGTTAGCATGGAGTTCTGGGATGGTGATGAGCCTGACTCTCGTACTCTCACTGGATCTGGGTGCCCCGTTAATATCGCACCGATGCCGAGGAATAAATCTGGTTTCTCCAAGATGGCACTTGGGGATTTCGTGACGTTAAGGACCAAGAAATTATCTAAGACGCAAGGTATGGTGTTGCGAGATTTCGTCCATGACAATACTGACTCGAAGCTGTGTGTAGATGTTGACTTTGAGATTCTCCCACCCGTCCGTTCGGTCATCGCTCTTGACGACCTTGGACACGACATTGAGATTAATGAGCCTTGGGAATTTATCTCTCTTGCCTCCGAATCACCCGTTTGGAAGGGTCTATCGTACGCTCAGGCCGCTGCTTTGACACTTTAGATCATGCCATTGTGATTGACATTTGATAATTTTGATTAGTATCATACCATATCGTACCACACCCATTACGACTTAGTTCATTCCTCAATCCATTAACATTACGAACTCACTTTACACCTTCGAGCTCCGTGTCGTATTGTCTTGGTCCTCGTTATAATTCTACTTACTGAACTGGGTGGTGTATTTGGACTTCGAGGATCAATTATAGCTATGTTATACCCCTGCAGAAACGTGTAGAGCTAGAACCTTTATCGATCTTTGCCAAAAATGTTTAAATTTGCCATCGTACACCGAAGATCGAGTTTCGGACAGACTGATGTGCTTCGATCATTTTGGGGGTACACGAGGACGTACTAGTAGTAGTTAAGAAAGATCTGATTGAGTTGGTAGAATTGAACTGATTACATGATAAATATAAGCGCGTTGCAAAAAGAAGAGACGTTCGTAGATACAACGGGCTTACAGAAAGCAGTGAAAATGAGGAAAATAGTCAGGATCACCATATAACTTGATGATGGCGATGCAAGGGTTGTTCATGAACGTACGTTCTCTAAGTGAGTTTGCATCCAGTGACTTTAACTAGATAATGCGAGGAGTGATTAGCGTTTTCCTCGTGTCGAATAACACGTGCAACATACCAGAACCATCAGGCTGCCCAACAGCGTACAACATCTCCATTGGGTGGAATGCCAAGGACGTATGCCTAGGGATATAAGGTGTCGGTGGTCGAGGGGGATACGCATTCAGACCCGTCGATAGGCTCAGCGTGGAGAGCGGCGATGAATCTGATATAGAGTGTACCGTGAGCCGCTGGTGCCTGAAGTTGGCAGGAGTAAGAGCAGATGTTCTGCAACCTAGTCAGCCGACCGTTCTGCCTACAACAGGATCGCACTTACGTGGCAAACACGCCCGTTTGTGAATGTACATCGAATGCGGACAAGCCCGTATGGTGTAAGTCCCAAGCTTGAGCCGCTGTATCAGAACCTCTTAAATCCCACAGACGGACTTCACCAGCGAGGCTGTATTTATGTGAGCTCCAGTACAAACACTACATGGCTTTAGCTTACCCTGCAGACAAGAACTGACCGTTGACGCGCGGGTGGTATTTAACATTCTGTACCCATGAATGATGGTCATGATACGATCTAACAATAGCGTCCTCTTCCTCTAGTCGACGATCGAAAACTTTGACGAGGCCATCGGCAAAGCCAACAATGAAAGTAGACGACGAGCCCTGATCAGACGTGATAGACGTCACAGGACTCTCACAATTAGTTTCGAGATCCTTTGAAGTCGTGAGTAATCAGTCTTCACTGCGAGGTATTATCTTCTTACCAGGACTTGAGTCTCCGTGTGGGCATCCCACACACGGATGATACGAGAGTCACCCCCGATCAGCAGCGTGCCACCAGATTGTTTCCAATCCAGTACAAGGCCACTACCTCTACGCACCCGGACCAACTCATGGAGTGCACGGAATGAGCTGACCATCTGCAGTGGACCTTGGTTCATCGTGGGGTCGTAATTCCGGTACAGACGCACGATGCCGTCGGCTGCACAACTGGTCGGTATTTAAGATTACGAGGAAGTCAAGTACGAACCTGCACCAGTCATGATGATTCCCCCCACATCCTGGTTGATTATATGCAGCGATGTAATACTCGTGCCTTTAGGATTACCATTGCAGAAGTAATTCAAGCGCTTGCGCTGTGTCCAATCCCAAACACTGCGGTGTGATTGCGTCAATAGGGTCATTCTAGTACCGAATAAATCGCACGCAAACCTGATCATGTCATTGTCATTCGCGATAACTAGGTGGGGGTCGTATGCATGCATTGCCATGCACAACGGATGACTGTTCACGTGCAGGCTGGCCACAGGGCGGTCCCATCTTGAGCTCTCTGCGCAGCATCGGCATCGATTGTCACATAGGGACGTAGCACGCACCAGCAACTATTGCCTGTTTCTGCGTCTCTGTAATGACTTGCTCATTTCGCTGCTGCCTCCACACTTGGTAATTGTACTGCACGCTTCCTGGCTCGTCCGCCTCCGTTTGCTGTAAAAACAAAACAAGAGCACAATCAGTATCAAACGTTGAGACCCCACAGATGTCACGTCGCACGTACCCGCATCTGCGGCTCCGTAAAGTACTCGCAACACCAAGCAAAGAACGAACTTTTCAGGGGTAGTACATCACGCAGTCCGTTACCGGTCCCACAGCCAAGGGGTACATTGCTGACATTCGAGTCCATAGAGAACGTGCTCTCACATGGACTGTTCAGGCCACCACCGGCACTACCACTTGCATGACCGAGACCCGAGCCTGCAGAACGTCGTCCATGCACTCCTTCCCGACGTCGTGCCCGCAAACGTACCATATCTTCCTCAACAAGCGCTTCCATCACATGCGAAGGTAGGAAGGTTGCAGTCCCTGCAGTTGGTGACACCGGGGGCGAAGCCAAGTCTCTTTCTTTATCCCGTGACGGCGTTGGCGGACGGGAGTAGGGTGAAGCATACTGTGCGATGTTGAAGTTGGGTGATGGAGGACGGGATGCAACAAGGATGTCAGAACGGGAGAGCGAGGATGGTACGGGGCTTGGCGGGGCGCGGGCCTCGTCGTTGCTGGGGAAAGGGATACCCCCTGCAAGATGACGCAGTGTATTTGCAAAGGATGACGTGCGCCGTAGTGTATTTGATGGACGGGACAATGACGGTGAGGGCGGGTGTTGTATCAGTGGTGAGCCTTGTGCCGAGCTCACGCGTGAGTGCACACCATTTGCACCAGCGGGCTTGTAATCGACGGGTAGTGGGGGGGCGAGGTTAAGTTTTGCAAAAGGTGATGCGAGGAGCAGCGCAAAAATGTAGTCCATCACTGTCTGCGCGAGTGTCGCAACCTCGTGGTACGGGTCAATTGTCAACTCCATGAGCACCACGAAAATAGTAAAAAAGCTTGAGAGCAACACTCGGTTTTCTTCCCTTGCGCCTTCGTCATCGCCAAATCCGTCCAGCCATTCGGCGAGCGCCTGAGCTGTGACTTCCTCTTCCGCATGGTGATAATGGGTATGTGGTTCACCTGCGCGCCATCGCCGGTCCTCTTCCCAGTACATCCACGCGCAAACGACGAAGTGCCCGCGCCATTCACGCACGAGGCAGCTTATAAGCACGAGTAGCTCCTTGCGCACCATTGGGCTTGCATCATCCCTCACAGCAAGAGTGGCTCCAGTTGCAACAGCCACCTCCATCCTGAAATGAATGCGCTCTTCGAGCTGATACTGAGTCCCAGTCCCAGCGCCACCCTGACCTTTGCCCCCAGCCGCACCCATGAAAGTTGAAAGTGCGTATAGGACTGCGCTTCTGACTTCAGGCGAGTCGTCAGACAGCATGAGGATGAGCTTGTCTTGAATCCCACGATCGACACCATACACTTTGACCTCATCATTGGAGTCCCATATTTGCGCAATGCATAGCGCGCTCCACTGCCTCAGCAAAAAGTCACCCTCTTCCAGACGCTCGGAGCAAGCGTCGAATACCCTTTCGCGCCAGCATGCCATCTGGCCATTATAGAAATCTCTTGCAACGGCACTGAGAATGAATGCGCACATGGCCTTGTGCTCACTGCTGTTGGGCAGCTCGTTGTCTTCCTGCGTCGCCAGCACATTCGCAAAGTACTTGAACCCCCCGGTATTGTATAGGTCAACTTGAACACTGGGATCTACTGCGAGGATGCGTGCCCATATAAAGATCAACACCGGACGCAGGTCCTGACCTGCGGCTTGCAGTAGCTTGGAGATATATGGGAAGATTCCAATGGTGAGTACAAGGTTGACGGCCCATGGTCCGAGGTCCACAAATTGGGAGAGGAGAATCAAGGCCCGAAGTCGATGAGGCTGCGAGAGCAGTACTTGCAGGACAATGGGGAGTTGATCGGGGGGTTTACGTGGAACAAGGTCAGCATCTGGGGAAGTGGTTTCGTTTACAACGTCGGGCGTGTCACAGCGATCCCCACCGTTCTGAAGAGGTAGTGACAAAGGACCCCGCTTTGTTAGTGCAGAACCACCGCGTGAAATCCAAACCTCGAACGCAGTGAGCTGGTCGGTAAAGAAGCGGCTCGGGATATACTGGTAAGGTTTCTCGGTATTTGGAGCACCAGAAGACCCACGCTGACCCGAGCGCGCGCCCGTGCCAATAATGGGACTTGGGGGGCTGCTGGGCGCGCCCGGAGCCTTCGCGAGTAGCTCAGGCAGTTGACGCAGACATGTGTCTAGGGCTAAATCCCATGCTGCCCAGAGTTGGTGAGTGTTTGTAGCTGGAAGTGGAGGGTGTGTCTGTGGGGTGCAGTGGTAGTTTTTCATGATGCGCTCTGCGAGCAAGAAATTTCGGAAGAGACTTGCAATGAGGAGGTCAGAGCGGTACAGCCGCGTGAACGTGTCCCGAGGGAATGTGGTCCACGCGATGGTATCTGTTATAGCGGTGAAAATCCAGTTAAGCTCCCCGAGAGGTGTCCGACGGTCCTTGAGGTCTCCTGGTAGCTGCATGACCATGTCGGGGGTGATGTTATTTGGGAGATGATGGGTCATGATGAAGTACCGCAGCGCGATATCAATAGGGGAAGTCAGACATGACGTGAAAACGTCTGCCGGCAGCTCCGGACATGTTGGAAGTTGCTCATGGGCAGCACACGCGGCGAGTTGAAGGGAGTTAATGTACCGCTGCATTCCGTCTGCGTAGCCCCCACGGGTGGTGAACGCATCCTGATCCCGACGTTCAGCAAAGGTTATGAAGTTGGAGAGCAAGTGCCCAGCAGCACTGCAATCCCAGATATATACACCTGGGCTGCCGAGCCAAGTCTGGACCTCCATAAGCGAGACGGGAATGTATTGGGTGTAGTTCCGGTTAAAGCACCAAAGCTCCCCGCTGGGGGTGGGCTTCGGAACACCGTGACCATTGTAGTAAAAACAAACTGTTTCATCTTTGGCCTGCTTACGAAGAGTGATACAGAAACGGCGGAGGTCCTCGTAGGAGGGATCAAGGATGGGTTTGTAAGGGATCTTGAGACTCAAACCCTCAAACTGGTGCTGAAGGTTAGAGCCGATGGCTTCGAGAGCCTTATGAGATGGGAGGGAGTGGGGATTGACCCAGCACTCGAGCGCTGCGCAGGGATTAGTCTTTATGATATCTGGGGGGTCGACGTCGATGTTCAGACAGAGGACGAGAGCCGCATTTGCAGTCTTGAGCTTTCCAGGTGCACTTCCCCGCCATGGAAAGAGACGTGCCGAAGATGACCGAGGACTAGCATTACCACATGTGAGATGACGCTTTGCAGACCAGTATGGAATGATCGGAGTTGGGTCAGGCAATGTTGCATCTGATGCTGTTCGTAGTCCATGAGCACCGTTCGTAGTGCGCGTCGACGATGGATCGGAAGTTGAAGGAGAGCCCCAAGCGCGCTCTGTGAGGACATCCGAGCCCATGTCTGAACCCTGTCG